TCAGCTTAAAGACTCAGGAACCAGATCAGACTGTTCCTCCGCTCCTCGGTTCAGTGTGAGTTAGGGCTGGGCGATAAAACGATAACCATATATATAGATAATTAATTTCCCTCAATATCAATATAAAACATGATCAATATCCTTATCAATAGTCGTCATTCTGACATGTTTTGGTCGACTATACGAACAGCCAATGAAAAGGGGAGTTTCTCCGGGTCTGAACCAATCATGTTCTGAATTAGAACCAAGTATCAACCAACTGCAGCGTCGTAGCAGACAGCAGCTCCACCCAACCATAGCACTTTAACAGGTGAAGCCGACAGCACTGTTGGTGAGAAACAAAGAAAATGAGTGCTACCCCCGACAGAAATGACCATGAAGGCTCAACAGATGACCACATCAATGTCAACCACAACACTGGCGTTAGGAAAACGTCGGTGGTGTGGAGGTATTTTGGTTTTTGGAGGTCGGACATGAAGCAGAGTAATGTGGACTGTAAATTATGTCGAGTTCATGTTCTCACAAAGTCGGGGAATACCTCAAATCTTTTTCACCACCTGAAGCAGCGCCACGCCGCAGAGCACGCGCAACGCAAAAGGTTACAAACCCCGAGAGGAGCGAGGAGCCCATGGCGCCTGAAACAGACGACCATTCAGTCGGCTTTCTGTAGACATCCATGTCAGAAATCAGAGAAGATGGTTCAGCCTCAGGACCGGAGCAGAGATGTTCTAAAGCAGATTCGGTTTGGAGGTACAGGAGTCTGAGGGTCCAATCAAACAAACCTGATCCTCCAAAATGTGAAGATGCTATGATTTACGATTAAAAGTTCAAATAATTTAGGATAAGTAATAAAAGACAACATGTCGGATACTGAAACTGAAAAGTTCCTCAAACAGGTCTAAAGTTCTAATAGAGGACTGGACTGGATGGTCCTGATCTTCAGGGCAGAATAAACAGACTGGACTCTGGAGTGGAAATCACCGCATGGACTCGGAATCACTTCAAAAACCGCTGACTGTGAACACAGTTCATCACAACATCCACTACTGAGGTAGAACCAGATAGAACCAGCAGGGACTTCTCTGGACCTGAGCTGAATCTACCTGGTTCAGTCTGAAACCGGTCCACTCGACCTCGGAGAGAAATAACTGAAGGTTTGATTTAGAGCTTTACAGTTCTGCAGTTAACGAGCCAAAATGTGTGTGTGTGTGTGTGTGTGTGTGTGTGTGTGTGTGTGTGTGTGTGTGTGTTAGTAGAGTTCACACAGCAGCTCTGCAGAGAAGCTGCTGCTAATCAGGACGGTAGGAGGTCACGACTCAAAACTGGAATCTGGAAGTGATTTGGAAAGAGGCCAAACACTCGTCTGCCTCTCTCTCTCTCTCTCTCTCTCTCTCCCTCTCTCTCTCTCTCTCTCTCTCTTTTATAACTTTATTGTCCTCCATTATTAAAGGTTCTTTCCTTCTGTTTCGACCCTCTTCTGTACCGAATCGTCTCCTCTCTCTCTTTTGTCAGTGTCTTATCTCTCTAAGCGGTTCAGCAGTAAGCGGTCTGGTTTTTACAGCTACAGGTCCTCAGGCGGTGTACTTATCATGTCGTCTGGGCGGGAGCCAGGTCCTTCTGAAAAAAAGACCCACCCAGGTTAATATGGCTTTAATATTCAGAGGACTGAAGGTGGGCTTGATTTATCCCAGCTGAAACCTGAACAGCCTCTGAAGTGGATACCCAATAAATCAGACCCTGTTTAGAGCCTGAACCACCCAGATCTGGCAGTCCTGATCCCTTTGTCTGTACTCAGATCACCATCATTTATCTCCAACAGTACAGAGAGGAGCTGGGCACTGAACCCTGGATAAAGGATTTGGGTCTTTGAGGAATGATCGAGTGCTAAGAGACTCAGAGCCAAGGTAAGTTCGTCAAAAATGGAGCATGTGTGAGGTATGAAGGATTCCGGCCCTCGCCATCAGAGGAGATAAACCCGTTCATCAGAAGTCCAGTTCCTGTAGTTCTGCTGCTGATATGGACTTTGATACGTGGACTCTGATGGGGGTTTCTCTGCTCCTGGAACCAGCCTGGTCTGGACCTTGTTCACTGGTGTTGGGCAGTATGAACCAAATCTAAAATCACGGTGTGAGTAATTGTCAGACCAGTCTTTGGCGAAAAACTCTGCCGAGCTCTTAGTTTTTAGTGCAGCAGGTGCGTCACGCATCATTTGTCTCTCTTAATAGAGTTTGACGTGTTTCATCTTCAGGTGGAGGAAGAGGTTGTTGGTGTTTCCTCCTCCACCAACGACAGCCACACCACACTCTTTGACAGTTTAGTTTTTTTGATCGTTGTTGGATTTTATAAATCCGAAGAATCTCCAGACAACCGATGTCACGACTTGCGCCCTTTTCGGAATGAGTTCCTCCTCCTCTTCCTCGTGTTGGGTTGGTCAGGCTGCCTCCGTTTACCCGGTACTGCCTCTGATCACCATGACCACCACCAGTGAAGCTGATTCTTCTTCGTCTAAACTATGCCAAGCAGTCAGCTGGACACGCTGGTGATTATAGGGAGCGCACCCAAACCTGACCAATCAAACGGAGCGAACAAACTCCACGAGACACGTTGGTGAATATATGGAAACGCACCCAAACAGACGCGCTCCGGCTTTCCACACTGACTCAGAGAGACATCTACTCTCTCCGGTATAAACGGACACTTTTATTCCATCACACGGTTTATACCGTCATACCGCCCGACTCTAACGTTCACTCTTCCACCGGCAGGTTTGATTGACGCCCTCGAACCTTTTCAGAGTCCTAACTCATCTCCGTGTCCCACCTGAGGGACCTCTTCTGCTGCGTCCGTCTCTGTTCCTGACACTGTTATTGCTCCTCCTGATCGATGACATAGACGGGGGTTTTTCTCTCATATTTTCTCAAAGTTTAGACCTTTAGTTTTTATTAGAGCACTTTGGATCTTTGTTTGGACAGAAACTCTACAAATAACTTTTATGACTGTCTGGGAACTGTCAGATGAAACAGAAACACCGTAAAGTTAGTCCTGAAGAAGATGTCAGAAAACTCCCAGGCTCAGGTCAGACCTCACACTGTGAACTGGAAACCACAGACACCAGTCACATTTACATTTACAGGAACCCTCCCTTCATACGGGCTGGATCTGAGGAGGGAAGGTGTGAGAGCAGACACAAAGTCCCCTCAGGGGTCTCCAGGAATCCGGGTCCGTATCAGAGCTGTCAGAAAGATAACATGAGACACTTAACGTCAGGTCTTCTACACATTTATGGAGCTCTGCAGAGTCTTGGTCTCTGTGAGACTGATGGATGGGACCACAGAGAGTCTCACAGCAGACTGCAGTTGTCCTTTCAGATCCTGGATTCTTGATGGACCTGAAACAAACGAGATCGATGGTCGGAAACTGTCAGGGGATTAATCCATCTGAACTGAGTGGAAACAAAGTCTGGAGATGTGGAAAACCTCTGAATGAAGAGGTGCAGGAATGATAATCAATCAGTGTGTTTACATGACACTTGAGAAAACTGAATTATCGCCTTATTCCGATCAAGACCGGACAACTGAAGGTCATGTAAACACCTTAGTCCGACTATAATCGGAGAACTCTGATTAAAACACCCAGATAATGAGATTGGAATTCGATTTTCTCGACCATGTAACCAGCGTAGTCGGAGTATGATGCCACGCCCCCGTAACAAACCCCCAGAGTAGAGGAGTAGCGTTGGTCTCATCTTTAGAAAAAGTAGCGCGTCCATCATGTCGGACAAAAACAACGCTGTACGATGCTCCATCTTCTTGTTTCTCCAAAATGCCCAGCAGCAGTTGTAGACACTTCTGACGTCTGACACCGACCTGCTGTTGTTGTTGACGGTTGTATGGGGTCGGAAACAGCGCCGCTAAGAGAGGCCCATATCGCCCCCTAGTGTTGGGGAGGAGGACACGTTCACGTCAATAATTCGATTTTCTCAGCTGCATGTAAACGAGGACGAGGAGAGAAGTCTGATTTGGCGAGAAAAACGAATTAAGTCTGATGAAACTGTGAGTGTAAACGAACTGAGTGTTTTATTAATTAGATATTTTCATAAAGGTAGAGGACGGGTCGATGGTAAAGTATATAAAGCAGAAGTAGAAGTTTCTCCTGCTGCAGCGTGGAAACATGAAGTTTGAGGGTCGGAGAAGGTCATGTGACATCTGAGCTCATAACTGTATGAAACTGCAGGTAGACTGAGGTTATTTCAGGTCAGGGAGGAGAGAGGAGGAGATCAGGGGTTCAGTCAGGCAGTATCAGGTCCTTCGTCCCCGTCCCTCCTCACACAAACATGTCCTGAAGTCTCAGTCTTTGTCGGAGAGCTTGTCGTTCTCAGTGAAGGTCTGAATATTTCTCCTCCGTCTATCAGAGTCCTTCTGAAGGTTTCTATCCTGGATCCTCTGAACCTGCAGATGGGGAGACATCTATCAGAGTGTAAGGAGGACAGGAGGATATTTACACCCCAGAAGATGATATCATTTATGAGAGGAGGAAACCTCGGGACACTTTGACACCCTGGATTCTGTCTGAGTATGAGTTTGTTTCAGGAAAGGTTGAATTAACAGTTCTGTTGACAGACTCAAGACTTCCTCCAGGTCACCAAGACCTGACCTTGACTGTTCCCAGATAACCAGAGAGGCCGCAGGCTGACAGCTTCACCGAGCTCTGGGGAAATATGTCTCTGGTCTGGATGAGTGGTGGGCCGGATGAGCGAATGTGAAGCGGTGGGAGATGATTGATGACTGACATTTATTCAGAAATGAAGTGTCCAAGAAAATAAACACTCTCAGGGAGATGAGTGAGGGTTTTATTACCGTTTCTGAGTAAAACCAATAACTCTGATAAAAGGGCATGTTCTCTGAGTGAATACTTTTGGTTCAGAGTCAATAAAGAGTTCGTATTTTCATGTCAGTTATTGGACAGCCTTCCAGCTAGGACTGTTTAAAATATGGACTCTGTCTCTGGAGGGTCACTCATTAGACTCTGGAGCAGAGTTTCAGCAGAAACCCCCCTTCTCATTCTGCTGACTCACACTGACTATGGGTTGACCTACTAAGGGGCTAAGAGCAGTTTAAGTGTCCTCTCAGAGTCCAGTCAGCTGTTTTTCCTTTAATTCACCAAACTGTTAAATATTAATATAAATAAATGTGTTTTCAAGAACGATGTGTGCAGAGAGAGAAAAGAGTCAGTCTGTCTAAAAACAACTTCAGCCTGTAATCATGTTTGTTTTTTGGGCTTTTTTAATGAGTGTGTATGTGGTTTGCAGTGCTTTTGCAGCCAGCCTCTAGTGGACATTTGAGGAACTGCACCTCCAACATCGACCTCTTTCCCATGACTGGAGGTCACTGCTTACCCCCAACTTCCACTATAGAGACAACTCGTTATCGCGCGATTACACGAGAATCTGCGGGTTCTGGTGAGTTCTCATGATTCCTGCTGTCCATAATCCGCCACGTAATTTGCCTCACAAACGGCTCTGGTAGGAATTGGTGGACGGTGAAAATCGCTGCTGTTCTGGATGCGGTGGAAATCCCGGGTTAGTTTTTAATTGGAGCTTCTGTATGTAAGATAGACCTCTTGACTGGAGCTGAACCTTTCGACCAGACAGTACACCAGGGTTTCATTAGTCCAGATGTAGTCCAGACCCGAGACAAAAACATGGTCCGTCTATGTGAAAGTCTTTCCTAAAGTAAACTCTGAATAACTGACCAAACTCTCAGACAGTGTTTATCAGATTAGGTGAAACAAAGACTGGACTGGTTCAGCTGTGACGTAGTGAGGTCGTAAAGGTGTCCAGTTAGTGACAATCTGGACCCCTCATCCTGGTTCCTGTAGTTTGGATGGTTTGTGTTGCAGAATAACATCAGCTGATCTCCGTCCTCTCAGGAGTGTTCGGTGGTTTGGAGGACACCCACCGCGCGTCTTACTCTGCGATGAATTCATTCCTGAATCAGATAAATCGTCCTCATCTGTCATGCGGTGACTCCCTGTGTTTCTAAGAGCGTGCTGACTCAGCAGGGAGAACTCCTTTTTACTCGTCGAGAATCCTAAACCGATGAGAAAACACACATGTTGATGTTCGCCATGGGCCTGTTCTCTGAATCTGTCACAAACAAACCGGAGCTCTCTGTTATCGTCCGGCTCCTGAGTGGAAGATCCATCACCGGGATAGAAATCACAGATGACCCCAAACCAAACGAGATCTGCCTAGAAAGCACAATGTGACCCAAAGAAGGAAGAACTCGAGGATAATTTATGTCTGTGGGACTTCAGGATAATATGTGCCGTCATAAATCAGTGGGTTTTTCTAACTTCTCTGAGGGAGGCGAGGTTTCTGTTAGCATCGCCAAAAGAGACAACAAGTTCAGTTTACTGTTGATGTTTCCTAGACAGACCAGGACCAACAGGGGGGCGGAAAGATGGAGGTTAGAGCCAAACTCCTGCAGGGGCATCGTCAGGGTCACTCTCCTCAGTCATCAGTGTATGAACGAGTGAATATAGACGATAAAAGTCCTGTGAGTGGTTAGAAGACTAGAAAGTCTATTTACCAATGTGACTTTTACATCAAATAAGCTGATCCTAAAAACTCAACTTGAACTCCTTAGTTTTGTAACATTCAGTCACTCAGAAGCTCCTGTGAAGACCTGAACTTCGTGTCTTTTTGGCGTCTTGTTTGTTTCCACTTTTTTACATATCAAGGGGGTCACTTTGGACTAAAGAAGTCCAGTCTTTCTCTCTTGGTCAGTTAAAGGAATCACTCAGTATTTTTATTGATAAATGTTAAACAAAGACAACAGAGTCGACTGGTTTGACACAGACCTCCTTCGAACTTTTACAGAAACTGAAAACAGGAATCTCTTCGACATCGTTGGTGTGATATCCTATTGGCAAATAACGGCTTAAAAAGTTAATTACTGCTGATATGAAAAACTCTGCAGATATAATGATCAACCCCAAAAGTGATGCAGTAATTACATGCATTCACAGTCAGCTCTTGTATGTTGGCTGTTTGGGGTGTTCTGAAGAGTGGGAATATTTCATATTAGAAAAATAAAATATTGTTTTACTTGTTTTACTGACGAATAATAAAGGTATGTTTATATTTGTATCCAACCATTCAAGGAGACGGTCCTCAGGAGGTCCTTCTTAGCCGGCACAGACTCACCACCTCAGATACCGTCTGCTGTCCTAGTGCTATTTTCCTGCGGTGAACTAAAACGACTCAGAAATGATCTGGAGGAGTCTAGAATGGGACTGACATGTAATCTTGATTACTGTTCAAACATAAGGTCCGGGTAGGTAGTCAAAAAAAAAGTGTCAGTCCTAGACTCATGTTCGGTATTCTGCCTCTCGGGTCAAACTTGTAAGATACCCCATAGAAGTATATTTATTTTCCTTGAAGTAATAATCACCATATTAATCATTTTACAGACGCGGTAGTTCTTCTGTCTTAGCGTCTCGGTCTGATTGTATTTCCATGAAGAAATGATCATAAATGTTCTTCCTTGAGCTGCGTCACCCCGCTGTAGTCTGTAATGGACTGGCCTGAGGTCTCACTACAAACAAGCGTCTGCTGGAAGAGAGTAGGTGAGTTGTGTTTAGTCTCTTTGTTAAAGTTAAAAAGATGTTTGGTGTCTAGTACTATGTCTGTGACCCTATATGTCCTGTTGATGAAGTTAGGTGCTGTTCTGAGCATTATTTGTGGCTATAGAGTGGCGTTTTGGTTGGGGGCGTGGCTCTCTGTATTTCTATCCTGCGGTCGTTACTAAAGTTGGTATAACTAGAGAAGAGAGCGGTCGACAACATTCATCTCTGGGGGGGGGCCAAACCGGTGTTACGGTGGGTTTGACCCTACATTAATCTACTTAAGTAGACGGGGTGACCTTCAGCTTGAAAACATCAGATCTCTCCGCTCTGACTCTACTGTCCTCTCCATCCTGAGATCGTTTCAGAAGAACCGGATGAGGTTTTTCTGTCCGGAGCTCCTCCTTCTGGTCTCAGTGTTTTATGAGATCTTCTGAATCCCTGTAATTCCAGAGGTTTTGTTTCCTGGAGTGATTACTGCCTGCTGAAGGAATGATGGCCCGGCTCATTTGTCTTTCCTCTCTGTCCACGTCGACGACGACTCTTGAAACTCAATTAGAGGAGGATTTGTTCCAGCTGGCCGCCGTCTCCTGCAACTAATAGCTCTTATCTGCAGGACTCAACGAAGGATTTATTCTTCCTTCTCACTGCTTGAGAAGACCTTCCTGTCAAACTGCGTATTTCAGGACCAGAGTCTGAATCCCAAAGTCTCTGAATGAGGTGTGGAGTCAGTGGAGCTTATTGTGAAAATGTTTTATGTAGAAGAACTTCGTCTTTATGGGACTTCAGCGGTTTGAATGTCTGGAGGTTTCTGCACAGTCAATGTGGTACGCTGGATTTTATAAACAGACTGAAGAGACCAAACAGACTTCCTTATTTCAGAAACTCACATGTGAAGAACTGGAACACGTCCATCCCATCAGGGTACCCTTAGACCCAACCAGGGGTGTACAGGTTTTATGCCAAACCGCTGTCTGATGTTGTCAGGAATGAGGATCTGAGGAAATAGGCGGGACTGAATCCAAACTAACAGACCTCCTCTGTAAGACTCAAGTCCCAAGAGTGGTCAAAATCCACAATCCCTCTAATTCTTTAGGTACTTGGACCTGGCTTTCCGCAGACTTTCAGGATTCTGGTTCAGGCGCACACTCTCACAGATTCCTCACGCTGCTCTCGGTGGTTCTGAAGACCAGGGACGGCAGTGTCACATCGTGGATTCAGCAGGTCGGTCAGAACCAAACATCAGGAGGACTCTACGATTGATTGAGATGAAATATGGTCCAGACTTCCTCATGGTCTAAGGATGGATAGATGGTCCTCTAACTTTTCTAAAGCTCTACGTCAGATCAGAAACCGTCTGATCCGAGTCCCTTTGAAGACTTGTCTTTTCGGCACTGACTGAACTGTCCTCAGGATCTCAGGTGTTCCTCCAGTTCATCGGACCGGTCTACACTTTTTCGTTAGCGGAGGGGATTCGTCTCACTCCCAGCTTCATTACGCTGCGGCTCCCCCAGGACTCAGTCTGAAGACGAGAACTTTAAGATGGACTTTGGTCTGGACTCCTTAAGGCCTGTTCCTCAGAAATCAGGAATTTATGTAGACCAGAACCTTCCAGTGCAGAACAAATCTCCAGAACAGCTCCGATCCAGAACGGGGGCGATTTTCGCTGTATGCCAATTCCTACCAGATCCGTTTGTGAGGCGAATTACGTGGCGGATTGAAGACAGCGATAATCACAAAAAATCACAAGAACCCGCAGATTCACGTTCAATCGCGCGATAACTAGTTGTCTCTCTAAAGACAGTCACATATACATATAAGCAGTAGATTGTGTCCTTCCAGAGGAGGAAATCTACTTCTAGACTTCTAGAATCAGCATCTCCTCATCCATGGTGTCATCGGGGTGAAATGACGTCTAAAAACCTTTCACTTGTTCGTCTCCGCCCGTTTGCATGGTGTGAAATACGATCCTCCTGAAACATGGAGTGTTTTATTTTGAAAAGAAGCCGGATGTTTTATTTTGTGTCTGTGCCCGACTTCCTTTCCAGCACGGGTTAATCTGTGCTGAATTTATCCGCCATGCTCCGGCGTCCAGAAAAAATAGAACTCTTGTGATCAGCTGAGGAGTCCGGCGATCCGCAGAGGAACGGAAAGAAGTCGGTGTAAATTGACAGGTTAACTTGAATGGTTACGATCAGCTACGATCGGAGGATACGACCTTTTTGTAGACGATCAGGATGAAGGTGGAGATCGGGGGTCGGTCTCAGAGACGTGTGGGTCATGTCCCTGACTCTAAATGTAGTTTTATTTTTAGTCTGTTGGTCCGGATCGACCCGTCAGGATTCAGCCTTGAATAACCTCGCGCTCACTTCTTCGTCTCTTCCTCGTCTCTCTGAATCTGTTCATAAATTTGATGTTTTTTCTCAGGCGTGCGATGACACTCTGGCTGTTTCTGCCTCTCATCAGGAGGACGAGCTCGTGCCTTCACACACTTTTAAAACCATCAAACTTGAGTTTTGATTTCCTGTCTCTGAACCATCCTGCTGCTCCACTGAACTCTGAGTGCTCCCTCTAATAGCAGCCCTTCTGCACAATTTATCTGCAGCCATTTCCTGAAAATGCTCCTCTCTTTGACGTCAGCTGCCTCTGAGTGAAATCTCAGTGATTTTTATTTCACAGGACGGGTCAGCTGCTCTGACTCCTGACGCAGGAGTTGAAATCAGGTGTTCAGATTACCTGTGATTGATCTCAGAGGTCAGGTGGACCTCAGTGAGCCTGTTCATCCATCAGCACATCCACCCGAGCAGGGACTGAATGTGCTGCTTTGTGTCGGCTCTGTATTCTGGCTGTCATTCTTCTTTTTCAGTTTCGAGCTGCTGGATCGGTGCTGGACGACCTGTTCCCTCTTTGCTGTAATTTGATGCCCAGGATGAGGCGTTTATTTCTGAAGACACCTGTTCCTAAAGTGCTTCCTTACAGGACAGTGACTCCGTTTAAGATAACGGCTGAAAGTGAAAGTTTAGATCCTTCGCTACGAACAAGACAAACTTAGTTTTCAGTTTGAAAAAACTTCTTTATCTGCAGCAGGTGGAGCTGAAGAGATGGAGATTGATCTAATTTGACTGATATTGATGCAGTTATTGATTCAGCATGTTAAACTCGAAACTCATTGATTTTTTTTAATGATCAGAGTGACCAGTTTGGAGTTTGTAGACCTTTGTATGGTGGCCCTGAAGGTCAGCTGCACAATTAAAAAATACGTCATGAAAAACTACAAATGTGTAAATAAATTAAAAAATAATAATTTTAGGTAAATGTACGTCAAAAAGAGCGAAAACATTTTACAAATGAGACAAAATATTGATGAAATAAAACTAAAAAATAAACAAAAAATTAAAAAAATATTTTACAGAATGAAAATAAATTCAGGAAACTTTAAACAATCACAAACTCAAACTCATAAATGTTTATGTTCTTGAATTGTTTAACTTTTTTAAAGATGTTTTTTGCTTTTTGTCAAATATTTGTCAAATTTTTCAGTTTTCTTTTTGATTTTTTTGTAAAATAGTTTTTTTGTGTTTCATGAAGGTCTTAAACTAAAATATTTTTGTATTTGTGGCGGGGTGGTTCTATATTTTTGGGTCATTAAATATTCATGCAGTTGACCTTCAGGGCCACCGTACAGGACAGGTTCCCATCAGACCGGGTCTTTGCTCGGTTCTGTCTGATGGAGCGACCTGTCCTCCTGCAGAGACACATGACCACACGGCGGCGGCGGCGGCGTCTCCACTCTCAGGACTGAGCGTTAACATAAACAGTCATGACTCAGCTCATCGTGACAGAGAAATTTACGCTGACTCATGCTGTGATTTGTCACTTCGCTGCTCTCTGGGTGTTCTCCGGCTCCAGCACATCCATCATGAGTCCTGACGGCTGTTTAGGTTCTGATCCAGGTCAGGGGGGAGTTCCCACACATCCTGGAAACACCTGGAAGACCTGGAATTTCTTCAGTTCTGCTTTAAAGAGAAGAAAAATGCAGGCTGATGTTTTATGGCTCTCCTGTTGTCCTAATATTTACCTCCTCAAATGTCTGACCGTCTTCAAAAACAGGATTTATCTTGGTGAAGTTTTGATTCTCTCTCCGTCGTCCTGCTGCCAGCTCCTTAATTATGTTGTCAAAAACAGCCGCAGTTTCAGACAGTGATGATGAAAGCAGCTCCGTTTGTTGTTTTTCTCTCTTTTCCTCCGATAGTTTGTCTTTTTTTCCTCCTCTTCTCTCCGTTCTTCTCTCGACATCCTTCGCTGATCCTCTTCCTCCTGAGGACCATGTTTTGACGTGAAGCAGGGTTATTAATCACGCTAACATCGTGCAGAGTTTCGGGTGTGTTCCTGCTTTTTGACTCTCCTGTCTGATTATTCGGGGTGACCCAGTCAGAGGTCAGAGGTCAGGCTGTGATTGCAGGACGTCGGCCAATAGGGTCTTGTTATGGGAGCACAGGGAAAGTGAGCAACAGCTGCTTGTTAAAGCTTTATTCATCCAGGGAGATCGGACAGAGTCTGCTCTGCTTCATACACGTCTATATGTGCCGACTGGGAGCAGACCAGTAACACCAGTTATCACTCAGTACGTTTACATCCACAGTTTAATCAGGCTAAGCTCATAATTCATTTTTTTTTCGCCCAATCGGACTTTGAGGTGAGCATGTCCTCCTCCCCAACACTAGGGGGCGATATGAGTCTTTTCAGCGGCGCTGTTTCCGACCCCATCCAACCGTCAACAACAACAGCAGGTCGGTGTCAGACGTCAGAAGTGTCTACAACTGCTGCTGGGCATTTTGGAGAAACAAGAAGATGGAGCATCGTACAGCGTTGTTTTTGTCCGACATGATGGACGCGCTGCTTTTTCTAAAGAGGAGACCAACGCTACTCCTCTACTCTGGGGGTTTGTTACGGGGTTACGGGGGCGTGGCGCACAAATTCCAATCGCATTTTCTGGGTGTAATCCGAGTTCTCTGACTTTAATCGGAGTTTGAGAACTTTGATTATAGTCAGACTAAGGTGTTTACATGCACTTCAGTTGTCCAGTCTTGATCGGAATAAGGCGATAATTCGGTTTTCTCGAGTGTCATGGAAACGTACTGAGTGTGGTACCTTGAGACAGGAGTCTCTATTTGGTCCAGATGGACCCAGATTCAGCACCAGATTGGTCGATTCCCATTGCTGTATAATTTCTTCTTCCGAGTTGTTTTTACCAACTCTGCTGATGCTAGTCCAAAAACTGCAGTTCCTCTTCTGTCCACTGGAGGCTGTCTCCAAAAGTGAGTCAGTCCCCATAGAGCCCCATGTTAACACTTCACAGCAGAAATAAACACGTTTACAGCCGAGTAAGAAAACAGTTTATCTGGTTTTAATATCCATGCTGCGTTTCAGTTCTTTTAACTTCAACGATACAAAAATAAATAAACCGAATAAGATCGGATCGTCTAGTTTGTGTTTTCTGCTGCTACAGTGACGGATTCTCGTTGTGAATACAGACAGTAAGGAAATGACAGGATTTTAAAGGAAGTTAAAGGTGTAGTTCATGTTTATAATTCTGAACATCTAAGTTCACCGAAAGCTTCAAAATTAACGCCGATAATTCATGATAATTCAGACAAGTGCACGGTTCTGAAAAGATGCAAAACCAAAACCTCCAAATAGATGTTCAGGAACCACCAGCTAAGTTCACGACATAACACCACCCAGAGTTACTGAGTAAGACCGTCCAGAAGAGAGAGGACATCTAAGAGGATCCTCAAACCTCCTCATTCAGTCTGTTTCCATGACACTCCAGAAAACCGAATTATCGCCATTCTCCGATTAGAACTCTGATTAAGACACCCAGATAATGGGATTGGAATTCGATTTTCTCGACCATGTAACCAGCGTAGTCGGAGTATGATCGGACAATACATGTTCACGTTCGCCACGCCCCCGTAACCCCGTAACAAAAACACCAGAGAAGTGTTTTGTGGAGGAGGACACGTTCACAACAATAATTCAATTTTCTCAGCTGCATGTAAACGAGGACAAGGAGAGAAAAACGAATAATGAGCTTAGTCCGATTAAACTGAGACTGTAAACGAACTGAGTGATGATATCTCCAGGAACCTTCGTCCTCCATCATTCCTGCGAATCCTCGTCTTCTTCAGTAACTCTTGGACTCTCTCTGTCGAGGTTCTGACCCCGTCAGGTCGTGACAGTGAACAGTATTTTTCTGAAAAATGATTATAATGCTCAGAGGTCCAGGGGTCACACGTCCAAGCGAAGCCGTGACCTCTGAGTAATTTGGTTTTTGTGTGGACAGTAATCAGAGTGGGAGGACGGAGCTGAGGGACGGTGATAGAAGGAGAATAATCAGTTAGAGCAGCTCGGCGGTCAGAGGAGTGCAGCGCTGAGACATCTGGGAAAGTGAGAGAGGTGAGTTTGATAGAATCCAGGTACGCCCGAGAGTACGAGAGAAAACACTGGAGAACATGGAGAGAGGAGGAGGAGGAGGAGGAGGAGAGAGAGAGAGAGAGAGAGAGAGAGAGGAGGAGGAGGAGAAGGAGAGGAGGGTGTTTTTGTTCAGAGCTACAGCAGAGAGGATGAAACACAGAGCAGGTTTAAGACTCATTAACACCCTCTTTACAAATAAACAGATAAGAGCCCTCAGTTATTAAATCTGTGTTATTTCACAATAAAAGCCCTGTGTTATTAAATCTGTGTAATTTCACAATAAAAGCCCTAAGTTATCAAATTTGAGTAATTTCACATTAAAAGCCCTTGGCTATTTAATCTGTGTAATTTCACAATAAAAGTCCTCAGTTATTAAATCTGTTTAATTTCACAATAAAAGCCCCCCGTTATTAAATCTGTGTAATTTCACAATAAAAGCCCTCAGTCATTAAACCTGTATAATTTCACAATAAAAGCCCTCTGTTATTAAATCTGTGTTATTTCACAATAAAAGCCCTCTGTTATTAAATCTGTTTAATTTCAGTATAAAAGCCCTCAGTTTTGATATTTGTTTGATTTCACAATAAAAGCCGTAAGTTATCACATTTGTGTAATTTCCCCATAAAAGCTCTCAGTTATTAAATATGTGTTATTTCACAATAAAAGCCCTACATTATTAAATCTGTGTATTTTCACAATAAAAGCCCCCATTTACTGCTCTGTTGAAATGTCTTTATTATGGAACGGCGTGATGTGACTTGGCGGTTTCAGGTGGTCACATTTGTAAACATGGCTGCTGCTCCTGTTTCGGGTCCAGGTTTTCCTGAGTACCCCTGGTCTGAACTCTGACTCCGGATCAGAACCAGTCCTTCACTTCTCTCCGTTTTTCTTCTTCTGGACGGATTTAAAAGAGGCGGAAAATTCTGGAAACTCTGATTAAGGTCAAAAAAAGAAAGGATGAAAACAGAGGAGAGTGATGAGCCGTCAAACATCTGAGGCTGAAATTACACGCCGAGCGCGAACGCCACGGGAAAAAAGGGGGGGGGTGAGAGAGAGGGAGAGAGAGGGGGAGAGAGAAGAAAAGAAAAAGGGGAAAGAAGAGAAATAGAAGGAGGGATGGTCATTTTTTGGAAAGAGCTGTTAACCTGAAACTGACGTGAGGATCTATCTATCTATCTATCTATCTATCTATCTATCTATCTATCCTTTTTTTCAGCTGATACAAACATGTTCATCCCCTCATCCCTCCATCAGACAGTATAAAGACGAGTGTTTAAAGGGCCAGTTCATAATAATTTAAATCCAGTTTTTTACCTGATCAGGTGAGATAAACAAGGTCCATGAAGCTGCTTTATCAGCTGTTTATAAAACAAAGAGGAGAAAAGGAGAGGAGAGGAGGAGAGGAGGAAGGAGACTGGAATAATAATCAGTATCAGTTCTTCTCAAAGCTTCAGTTTATGGACCTGTAGATCCTCCTTTATATTCACTCTGTGACCATAAAACCTGAGGGACTGAGCCACTGTCCTGTGTGTGTGTGTGTGTGTGTGTGTGTGTGTGTGTGTGTGTGTGTGTGTGTGTGTGTGCGCGCGCGCGCGCACTGTAAACATCTGTTTCACACACACACACACAGTGTTGTGCGAGGTTATTCAGGGACACTACGATCAGGATGATTCACACAGAAAGTGTCTCCTTGTTAGCCTTCTGTCCTCTTCCTCTCTTTCTTTCTCTTCTTCTCTCTCCTCTCCTTCTCTCCTTTTTCCTCCACCTCACTCTCTCTTTCTCTATCCCTTCTACCTTCCTCTTTTTCTCCTCTGCACCTGTTCTTCCTGCTCCTGTTTTCTCTTCTCTCATCTTTTTTCCTTTCTCTTTCTCTCCTCTTATTTTCTCCTTGAAAAAAAACAATAAAAATCTCATATTTTAACTGTTCACAGTGAGTAAGTTTGTTGTGATGCATGCTGGGAGCAAGTTTTAGACACCAGATCGATCCGGCCTTGATGCAGCGACTCTTCCCGCCTGCAGAGGGCGTCTGTGCATCAGCTGTTACTAAAGAGGAGTTTGATTGGTTCAGTAGATGTTTTTGGCAGAGAGACGTCCACCTGAAGAGAGCAGGACACATCTGGAGGTGGAGTACCGGACAGTAAAGGTGTGGTCAAGGTCACGGCGTGGATGAACAGAGACGCCGCGGGGGAATCGAACCCTCACGCTCCGCCCGTGTGCGGCGCTGCCGTGCTCTGCAGTTTCCTCACGTCGTCTGTTTGTTGAATCTGGAATGTGTCTGAGCATAGTTTGGTTTGTGAGCCATAATCAAATCAAAATGTGTCTGCATACTTTCCCATGGGGACAGAGGAGGAGGAGGGTGAGGAGGGGGGAGGGTGTCCAATTAAACGGTGACACTCGGGAGATAAACAGACAGAAAATAATCAGGAGTTTCTAACAAAAGCTGAGAGGAAGACAGAGGGGACATATGTGGACATCCGCTGGTGTGTCAGATGTTATTTTGGGACATTTTCAGGAGCTGAAGCATGTTTTGTCTCCGTGTGGATAAAGCCGGCTGCTAATGAGCTAAAATACCAAAAAGTGTCGTAATAGGAGCGCGAACAAAAGGAGCCGAGGCCGAAGTGTTTGGATGTTTGAATTCAGAACCTGTTCGCGTCACGTGGGCCGCACGTTTGCCGACATTTTCACACAGAGAAAATCACGACATTTACTCCGCTGGGAACTTTGGTTCGAAAAGTTTAGATGAGAGCTCAGAGGCTGATCTAGTTTAGTTCAACATCTGTTTGATTATTGATTTTGGATCAGCTGAGACCAGAAACTCGGGATGTTCGTTCAGGTAGTCGTAAAATCTCTGTAAGTTATAATCAACGAAACAAAAACAGACAGAAACACAACAAGATCTCCACAAACACGACCCTGAGTTTAGTCTGGACTGGATCAGCTAAGGCGACACCTTTAACCCCCGATCTCCACCTTCATCCTGATCGTCTACTAAAAGGTCGTATCCTCCGATCGCAGCTGATCGTAACCATTCAAGTTAACGTGTCAATTTACACCGACTTCTTTCCGTTCCTCTGAGGTTTGCCGGACTATATTTTTGGAGAAAATTGCCGCCATTCTGGATGTGGTGGAAATCTACCACATCCAGGTGTTTAGATGGATCACAGTACCCACCTGTCACTGAGAGAGGCCACGCCCCTAATTAAACAAACTTTGATCTTTAACAGGTCAGTTCAGTTTAGATTCAGTCTGAGTTATAGAAACCCAAACTGTAGTTCCACCTGCTGAACATGTTTATTCCTGCTGTTAACATGAGCCTCTATGAGGACTGACTCACTTTGGAGGAGCCTCTAGTGGACGCTGGAGGAACTGCAGTTTTTGTAATTTCAGTATCAGCTCAGTTACATTGTGGTACCCAAGTCAAACACAAATAACCACTATTCTGTATTTGTTATGTTTGTGTTTTGTTGCTTGTTTTTTGTTGGACAGCCTCTAGTGGACGCTGGAGGAACTGCAGTTTTCTCTGCAGCAGTCTGAGTTTGACCTCAACGTCCTGTCCAACAAGAAGACAAACACACTGAACTGAAGGTGAACTACTGCTGATGGACTCATAATACCTCTACACACACACACACACACACACACACACACACACACACACCTGCACGGACTCAGAATACAAGCACAGGTTGAAACAACTGGAGCGTAGTGAGATTTGTCTGCTGTCCGGAAACTTCTGCAGTCCAGGGAGTAGAGCCAAGGTGTGTGTGTGTGTGTGTGTGTGTGTGTGTGTGTGTGTGTGCGTGTGTGTGTGTGTGTGTGTGTGTGTGTGTGTGTGTGTGTGTGTGTGTGTGTGTGTGTTTACATATGGAAACACACACACTGATTTTCTGGTGTAATAAACCTACAGCTTCGCTCTCATTCTTAAAACCCTGACTGCTCCTCTCTCTTGTCTCCTCTCTCCCTCTTCCCTTGTCTCCTTGCTCTCTCTTTATTTAGTCTCCTTGTTTATGTCCTTTCGTTGTCCCCTCTCTCCTCCTCTCCTCTTCTCTCCTGTTTTTCTGACTCATCTCTGTTGGAGTCGGAGTGTTTTTCTTTATCAGGAGGTAAAATCTGACTCCTGGTTTGTGTGTGAGTGTGTCTCCTAGTGTGTCTCCTAGCGTGTTCACGTCTCCTAAATGTTGTTTATATTTTCTGTTTTATTAAAATCGATCTTCCAGATGAAGTTTCCGAACATCGTCTTCTTCAGTTTATTTATCCTGCGTGTATGAGACGTGAAGTGTGTTTGGACGCTCTCCTCTGCGCTGAGTGACATATAAACCTCTTTTTTAGTGCTGCTCGAACACTTCGGTTCGGACCGGTCCAGAAGAATCACTCATCCATACATTTATGATCCTCTCCTGCTGCCGTTCAGGAGCTTTATTTCACGATTCAGCGTCCCCGACTGAGTGATGAGGCTTTATGTCTCCATTTAAGGGTTCACGACGTTTGGCCGTCGCCCCTCAAATGTGTCCCGGACTGAAGCGGGAGCAGCGACCCGTGAGGTGAAGATGAGTGGTTAGCAGGAGGTGGAAGTCCGATTCTCACTGACGAGTATCATGACAGCAGACATGAAGACCTGAGCCGGGTCCCATCATCGGGTACGCCCAGAAACATTCATGCCGTCTGATTTGGACTGACCCCTGACCGTCTGAGAAACGTTCATCCGGTCAGTGAGAACAGGTTTGTGGTGAAGCGGACTCTGTGGTTCTGACAGTCCAGCTTCTCTTCTCGTCGGTGTTGACTCTGTCTTCAGTCCGCTCGGTCTGGTTGGCGGCTGTTTTCCTCGTCTCTGCAGACGTGTGAAGGATCTTGAACTTCTGCAGCTTTTGTGTTTGGTTAGCAGGAGATCCTCCTCCGGGATCCTCGTCCTCCTGGTCTCAGATCCATGATTGTCTTTTAATGACGCTGCGGTATTTTCCCCTCATATTCATGTTTTTTCAGCCTTTTTTACTGGAGCTTTATCCATAATTGCGAGTCTTCTGGCCGGGAGCAGGTCTGTGATAAACCGTCAGTGAAAATCAGTTTGAACCCTGAACACTTATAAAGCAGCTTGATCCGTCCTAAGTCCTGGATCAGGACTGGGTTCACGCTGACTTTGTGGATTTATCACTTCCATCTCTGCAGACTTTTCAAAGACCTCTCAGCCTCTCTTTCACCTCTCCTCCCGTCTCCAAACGTCCCCCTCTCTGGCCCCGGGGCCTTCATACAGACTCAACGTCACTTTAGGAGTCTCAGTTTTTCACGGCTTAAAGAAACTGGATTTAAAGTCCTTTTGGGGGGACAGTTACTCAGGAAGTAAAACCTGCAGGCTGGTCCAGACTCTGTCTCTGGTTGTCTTCACTGACATGTTGACCTGCTGAGCTTCTACACCTCTGTGTCTCTGTGTCTCCGTCTCTTGTTGCACTCTTAATGAGATCTGAAATCCTCTGCCAAACCTCATCACATCCTTCAGACTCCTGTTCCTGGTCTTTAGCCCCCTGACCTTTCTCCTGACCCGTCTAACACCCTCATGGCTGCACTCACGCCCAGTCAAACCCTGTAACGTCCACCAGACTCTGAGAACGTCCTTCTGCTGCTCCTGGGTCTTCTCTGTTTTGACTCCATTATCCCTTATTTCCACTGCATTCGAAACGGAGATTATGGACAGCAGGAATCGCGAGAACTCACAAGAACCCGCGGATTCACTTTCAATCGCGTGATAACGAGTTCTTATCTGTTTCTGTTCCTCAGAGGAACGTAAAGAAGTCGGTGTAAATTGACACGTTAACTTGAATGGTTACGATCAGCTACGATCGGAGGATACGACCTTTTAGGAGACGATCAGGATGAAGGTGGAGATTAGGGGTAAGTACATTGCTGTCAGAACTATCAGTCCGCTCTTCTTTCCTGGTAGGTGGGTCTGAAACTGTCCCCAAACCCTTTCCCATTGGTTCTTGTGGAACCGGACCGACCCTTGAGCGCCACTTTGGTGTATCTGTAAACAACCAAGATGGCGGCTTCCAGTGCTGAGCGGTCCATTGAACCCACTTTAGGGCCGTTTTAAAAGAACCGGTCTGCTTATTTTCGTCATCAGATTCCTCTCTCTGCGTTCACATCATCACACGCCGCAGTAATCTGATTGGTTGTTCGTCTTCTCGATCAGTTCTTAAGGTTCCGTCTTCATCATTGGGTCGTCCCAGACTGCCTGGTTGGTCTCTGTCTTCATGACCTTTGACCTCGCTCTGTCCTCTGCGGTACTGTGAACTCCACCAGACTGTAGCCTCACCTCAGACAGTCCAGCAGACAGGGTGTTAGTCTTACGTGGTTAAAGAAAACGATGGATTCCCCTGAAGACCACACCCTCTGGCTCTTTAGCTAACAGTCGTTCCGTCTCTCTTCAGCCTGTTGAAAGCTTTGGGAATAATAAGCAGCAATGAGTCAGTCTGAGGGGAAGGAGGACATCAGCTCATCTCTCAGGGTCATTTATCTCCGTCAGGTTTCATCTCAGCAGCCATGTTGAAACTGTCAGAGTCGCCGTCTCTCAGACTCTGTGACGTCGCCTTTGGCCGTTTCCAGCGGTGGGAGTTTACTCCGTCTGCAGCTCCTGAACAGCTCCCTGCTGATAGGAGGTTACTGTCCTGGTCCACACCTGGAGCCCAGATGCTCTTTACACACACTAATACACTCAAACACACCCGTGATCAACTTTCCCTCCGTTTTCCTCCATATGGGCGACGCTTCGATCCAAAACACACAGACTTTATTTCCCAAAGTTTCCACTCTGTACATACTTGGACTCCGAGTCTCACAAAGACACAGAAGTGAAACAAACGAGGGTACCCGACACGAGAAGAGCTTTAATAATACTCCAAATACTGAAATACAATCCTGGACTTTTGATTATTTCACTTTGTGTGGGACGACCGGGGAGCATACTGGAGAGAAAATGAACTTTTCAGAACGTTGAATTATCGTGTTCCTCTGACCCATTACCAGGACAGATACTCTACTTTTCTCCTGACATTCCCATCAGCGTTACTTTGCATATAGAGCAGATTTGCAAAGGTCACAAAAACATTCACACTAACATTATGTGTGTCAGCACGCTCATATTTGCCTTCGTACCCCTGATGGACCTTCAGACGGTCTGGACTGGATTTGATGGTGACAGGAAACATGGAGAGAACATGAACACGCTGCTGAAGTCCCTCAGGAGAATCAGACAGGAGACGTTGTGGTCTTCTGCTATGTGAAGGCCTAACCACTGAGCTGTACTTTAAACTGTTGCTCCTTCTTCTGGTCGTTAAAGTCTGTGTTCGTGTCCTCCACGGGAACATCAGGAGTTTATGGACAGAACATACACACAAACTTCTACAGAGCTGACCAAACACAATATACTGTTGTGTCGTCTGGTGGTTGTGGTTTGTTCAGCTCAGGTTAGGAGTTCAGTCCAGTTTTATGATGATCTGAATCAGTCCTCATGAACATCTCAGGTCTTTTTCAGGGTCTTAGTAACACACTGTGATTTTAAGATGTTTGTTAAAATATGATTTAAAGACCAAACTTAAACTTTTAAAGCTCCCGTAAGCGGTTTATAGACCCTTATAAATGGACATCACTGCCTTCTCATGGCCGACAAAAGTGAACAAAGACCTTCAGCATCAAGACCGAACAATAACCCTGTAAACCAGTCTGTAAACGTGTTTATTTCATATGAATGGGTGTTTATGGGGTCTCCTCAAACTTTAACAGAAACCCGAGGAACTGGAAGTGTTAGCGCTCCTGCGTTATCGTCATTTCTCAGCTCCACATTTGTCTCCGACATGGACGAGTCAAGTTTTCCAAGACAAGTGAGTGAAACCTTTCTAATGTTTCTGTTTTTAATGTTTGTTGTCGTCCGTCAACAAGCTGTTGGTTCAGTGGAGCAGCTAAGCTAGTTAGAAAGCATGTTTGAGCTAGCTTCCATTCTGGACTAATAGGGTAAAGAAGCTAGCTTATTGGAGAGATGTACAGAATACTTGTGCTGCGTTCGAGTTACCTCAGAAGTCGGAGATGAAAATGACGTCACACCTGAGTTTCCAGCGTTTCAGTTACAGAGTCAGAAAAAAACAAAATTGGAGGTGGAAACAAGATGGCTACGTCTGTGAAAGTTATTTTAGCGCCTACCTTGTATTCGGATAAGGCACGGGGACTGTCCCCGTTTTGGACGGCCTGTCCCCAGAAATGTCCCAGATTGAAGTGTTTCATGAATGAGAACAAAATGTTGCGTGTAGATTAGAACAACGGTTATTATGGTAGCTGAGTAGGTAGGAAGTGCGAGTTAGCATGTTTTGCGTATAGTCCTGAACAACAGTCTTTATTACGGAGGGGTGTGCGCTAGTACCGAGTTGTTGTCTGTGATCACACAGACAATATTTTGCTTCGCACCCCCCACTCCCTGGATGTCCCCTGATTTCAGAAATCTGGTCACCTTATTTTTAATTCTTGTACACTCACTAAACACTAAACTGAACAACAGTGGACGAAGGTGCTCGACGCTTTAATGTGTTTATTTGAACTGAGGAAATCTGAAGACGCTGGTGGAGGATATGAGTGATTAGAGAGAGCGTACAAAGTCTGGATGGTTGATATGAAATAGATGAAATTCAAAGTTACGCTTCATGTCACGGTTGTGTTGTACCACCATGACCAGATTAAACTGCATCAGGAATGCAAATGAAGAAGGGAGGCTGACTGCTCTTGTTACTTCTCCACGGTTAGACGTCCGTCGGGTCGTTGGACACGCAAACAAACAGCTGGATGGAGATTCTTCGTGGAGGCGCTCAGGAGGAGACGAGCTGAAGGTGAGAGAGAATCGAATATACCGACTTTAAAACTTTACAGAAATAATCTAATACAGGTGAACTTTTACACCTGAGTTCAGAAGATTTAACCTTTTTTTCTGTCGGTATCCTTTCACAGTGGAGTTATATTTGTTAAGGTTTGGAAAAAGGAGTCTCTGATCGTTTTTCAGGGTTATGTCGTTTTTACGTCTATGTTAAATAATTGAGTGTATTTTCTGTGTTCTTGTTACTTCAGCGAAATACAAAGGGAAAAGGTCTAAATTACAAATGCTAATTTAATGACGCGTCATGTTTCTGAGCCTTAAATAAAATACTGTATGTCCATGTGTTTTTATCTGTTGTTAACTTTATTTGATGAAACACAGCATCGTCTGCATACAGATCAAAAATAACCGTTTACAGCACCACCTAAAAATCTGAGTTATTTATCTCCACATGACTGGACCATCTGACTCTAAATAAATATCTGTCTGCTCCAGCTGCAGCTCTGTTTGTGAAATTCCACTGAAAAATTACTTTCTGATAAAAAAAAAAAAAATCATGCAAATGTGGCCGCAGCCTCAGCCCACAGCCGCTCTCATAAAACCAAATCCATGTCTTCATTCAGCTTGTTTTGAATACACCAGATGTCCACTGAGACTCTCCACTTGCTGTCTGCCATGCAAATCAACAGGTGGGTCCAGTTTCAAATGAGCTTGTGGTGAAACAGCCGAGAAACAAAAAGGTTGAATTACAAACAGGAAATCCTCTTCGATGCAGAACCAGGAGGGATGGATGTTGTTTAGACTGAGGACTCAAAGTTGAGACTGAGGTGTAGAAAAACCAGATAGTCTTTGAGTGACTCTTAAATCTGAGTTTAGGAAGTCTCAGAGTGACTTAATCTTCAGGACAAACTGGTGAAAATATCAGGTTTGGGTTCCTCAGAGAAGCAGCAGATAAAAACATCTTTACAGTACCAGTTAGAAATCTGTTCAATAATCCAAACAGATTTCTTTTTTAGATTAATGTGAATGTTTGTTCATTTAAAGGGATATTTCAGCACAAAATTACGGGTCAAAAACACCGAGTTAGACCCCCCCTCCAGAGATGAATGTTGTCGACCGCTTGATTCTCTAGTTATACCAACTTTAGTAACGACCGCAGGCGAGCAATACAGAGAGACACGCCCTCAACCAAAACGCCACTCTATAGCCACAAATAATGCTCAGAACAGCACCTAACTTCATCAACAGGACATATAGGGTCACAGACATAGTACTAGACACCAAACATCTTTTTAACTTTGACTCATTTCTTTAGCAAAGAGACTAAACACAACTCACCTACTCTCTTCCAGCAGACGCTTGTTTGTGGGGGAGCCCTGACGAGTCGATCACCGAGTGCAGCGGGTTATTTATGATTATTACTTCATAGAAATGCAATCAGACGGAGACGCTAAAGCAGAAGAAGTACCGCGTCTGCAGTGCAAATGATTACTATGATGATTATTACTGAAAGGAAATGATCTGCCGGGTGTCTAACTCGGTGTTTCGGTGTGTTATTGTTAAATGACAAAGTGTTAAATTAATTCCACGCAGGAATGTCCCTTTAAAGGCTCGGGGTTGGTTCGTGTTTGGAGCAGCTGGAGACTCTTAAAGACCAGTCACTGATCCTGAAAACCTCTTTTTTTCTCTTCTGCAGATTCTAGAAAACTGTGAAGATGAATCAGTCTGAAGCAAACTTCACCTCTGACTTTCACTTTGATGAGTATGAATATGGAATCGTAACTTTGTTCTCCATCAACTTCTTCTTCGGACTCCCGGCAAACATCTACGTGGTGTATCAGATCGTCAGTGGAGGTTGTGGAGCTGTGGCCTCTGAGTTCTTCGCCCTGAATTTGGCCGTGGGCGAGGCCCTCCTCTGCATCTTCTCCTTCCATCTCTTACTTCAGTTCCTGCTGAAGATAGATCTGCTCATTTGGTATAAGCTGGTTTATATCATGATGCAGCTCATGTTCATTTCAAGGCCAATCTTCCAGGGGTGGATCTGTCTGGAGCGGTACCTGGCTGTCGTACACCCTACGGTCTTTCTCAGGTAAGAGACGAAGATTCGCCTCATCTCTAACTTTGAGAATTGTCTTCTCAGATCTTCCTGCTCTGGACCATCACCTCCTGAAGAGTTGTATTTTCTCTCTGCAGGGTCAAACCTCTCCGTTACCGGCTGCCGTGCTGCGGGGTCACCTGGCTGCTGATTGTCCTGGACAGCGTTGTCGGTCCGCTCTCACTGGATTTTGTGAAGTTCATCTCTCTGTTCATGTTTAAGTGTGTGTTCATGCTGGTGCTCATGATGTACTGTGGCGCCCATGCTCTCTGTGTGCTGAGGAAGCCGGGACCCGGAGATGGGGGCGGGGAGCGCAGGAGCCAGAACAGCATGAAGGGAAAGGCCTTCAAGGTTATCATGATCACTGCGTCCTTCTTCATCGTGACTCTGTCCATCCAACTCTTCCTCGTGGGTCCGGCGATGATATATGGGTCATATGAGGTCACTATCAGGGCCATATTAGTCGCCGTGTTTGTCAGCATCATCAGCGGGTTTATCTCACCTCTGCTTTACCTCCACAGAGCCGGAAAACTGCCCTGCATCAAATTCTGAGTTTGGAGAAATGAAAACCGAACGCTAACAGGTCAACGCTGAAGTTCTTCTCTTTTACGCTTTAGTCTCTAAGTTTCCTCGGTCCTGTGAGGTCTAATCTCAAAGAATCTACTGCTTATATGTCTATGTGTCTGTCTTTATAGAGACAATTCGTTATCCGCGGGTTCTTGTGATTACCGCTGTCCGTATTCCGCCACAAAATTTGCCTCACCAACGATCCGGTAGGAATTGGCGTACGGCGAAAATCGCTGCCGTTCAGAGGCGTTCTGGATGTGGTGGAAATCTGGGGTTATAATCCTGATCTGAAGGGTCGAGTTTGTTTTGACAAACCACTCAAACCCTGATCAGACTAGAAAGGGTCTCTTCCATTTCCATTTTATTTCCCTGATGCACCCTGAGGCCTCCGTTCTACCCGACCCTTCACCCTGGACATCAAACTACCTTCTACCACCTGATCGTAAAACCCAGTGGGATCTTGGGGTCTTGGGGTCTTGGGGTCTTGTGCAGATTAAGGTCAGAGCTGCAAATAAAGGCCTGCAGTGTCATTATTTCTGTTTGTGCAAATCTAGAGTTAGAATCGACCGTCGGTCAGAGATACTGATGTTGGAAACCTTCAGCAGTAAATCCAAAGTGTCAGAGATCTAACATCATAGAAGATCACAAACAGACACTGAAACCTCTCTGTGTGGGGTGAACTCCGGACTCAACACATACCTGAAGAGCTGAGGTGGAGGATCCTCCACGTGCCGGGTAGATCTGGTGCAAAGTGGGGACACTCTCCACGGATGACATTCAGATAAAAGTTTCAGTCCTAATGAAAATAAAACACTTTCAAAGTTCCTCAAACTCCTGCGTCTGTCTCCGCAGAAAGAAACACAGCTGTCTCTTTACGGCGGCGGCGGCGGCGTCTGAATATCCATCTGAGGATGTTTGAACAGAGAGTCATGACTCCTCCGCCGTGACACGTCGCTGCTTTATTCTTCAAAGTTGGAAATAAATATTTCCCCAACTAAAACACTCATTTGCCGAACACGATGAAGGGCATTATTCATGTCATGAGCTGGTATCATGAAAAAGCCCATCACTGGGGAGCGCAAACATTCAGGCGGTAGCAGCAGCAGCAGCAGCAGCTTTATGTAACACATCTAAAAATCCTGTTAAGTGCTAATATGAGGCCGTATATGGGAGGAAAAACCTGCTCCCGCACTTCACAGGAATGAAAACGCTGCGATATTCACAGGCGGCTTTGATTGTCGAGGTCAAACTGAGAGCAGCAGGTTCAGGCAACCTCAGATCTTCTGTCACACACACACACTTTCACACATTTACACAACTCTACATACATCCTGCTGCACACACACTCCATCCTCGGCTCCTTGATGTTGCAGTTACATGATGTAACAGCGGGCCTGGATGGCTCCCATGGGTGCTGGTTAGTCGACTTAATGGACTGCCACAGCTCGCTTCAAAGACTCCCGGAGTCAAAAGAGTCAAGAGCGATGGAGAGGAAGAGGAGGCGAAAAAAGAGAAACACGAGGAAGGTGAAGAAGTCATCGTCTGAGTCGGCCTCGGAGACGCAGAAGTTAGAGGTGGGGAGTGGATCCTGAAGGTCTGAGGTGGATTTTCTGTTTACCTGGTTTCTCTACGATGAATTTAGATGAAAGTGTTTAAAGTGTAGAAAGACTGACGAGGTTCAGATTAGCTTGACTGTGTTTGAAATGTTTGATTCACTCTTTAATAAACTTTAATAAACTAAAAAACTGAAACCTGTTTTCAGTTTTGTTCATGTTCATGTTTTTATAACCGGTTCAGATCAAAGTTTGGACATTTAGAAAAGTTTAAAAATGTCGATAAAATCAGATTTTAATAGTTTAAAAAAAAACGTCTTTATAATTTTAAAATACAAAGATAAAATGTCTGATCTTGAAATGAGTTTTGCTGTTTTGTGGGGGAAAAAAAACAAACTCATTTAACATTTGATGGAGCAACATGTTTAAAGGGATATTCCGACTAAAAATTAATTTAGGGTCAAACACACCGTAACACTGAGTTGGATCATAAATGTTCTTCCTTGAGCTGTGACACCCCGCTGTAGTCCGTAATGGACTGGCCTGAGGTCTCTCTACAAACAAGCGTCTGCTGGAAGAGAGTAGGTGAGTGTCAGGGTGTCTAACTTGGTGTTACGGTGTGTTTGACCCTAAATTATGCGCTGAAATGTCCCTTTAAGTTCACTAACATCTACTGAGGGTTGAGAAAAGAAGAGGGTTTATGTGCCGCCGTTTCTTCTGATCTGAACTTGTTTCAGACCCGAATTAAAGACGAGTTTTGGACTTTGTGAGAGACTTTGAGGTTAAAACTGTCAGGCTGTTGAGAGAGGCTCTTATTGGGAGGAAAGTGTTGAAGGAAGAAATGAAGGACACAAGGAGAGAGAGAGGAGGAAGAGGAGGAAGAGGAGGCACGTGGCTGAAAACCACAAACCGGTCTGTGATCAGTTCAGATCTTTTGATCAGGCTGCTAACTGCCTGCAGACTCTGCGGTTCTGGTTTTTTCAGGCTTGTATGTTTCCAGTACTGCTGGCAGAACACTCATGGCACACTCAGAAACACACACTCTTACACACTCTTACACACACATGTTATCCTAAAACACACACGATTGGCAGGTGAAGCTTAACATCAAGGCTTTAGCCAAACACACACCATGTGTTGAAACGCAGAGCAGAGAGGGAAGTTTGGAGAAGGAGGGTCGGACTTTGTGAAGTTCTTCACCGAAGCATCTCGATATTTTACATGGAGGGAAAGAAGAGTGGTCTCCACACACACACACACACACACACACACACACACACACACACACACACACACACACCAGAGGAAAACTTCCTCCAGTTCATAAAAACTCCTCTGAACGGAGAAATCTTCAGATTTGGAAACAGATGAACTGATCCAACAGACCCACCAAGACCCGGTCTGAGAGTCTTTAAAGTCCGGCTCAGACAAGTCCGTCTGCAGGATCACTTTTGTTTGTGTTTTTGAAAATTAGTCGTCACGTTGACTTTGGTTGATTTGACGGTTTTCTCCTTAAATCATTTCTGGATTAATTTCCACACACAAGAACACAGAAAATCAACCACCTCGCTAACTTTTATTGACTTTTTAAGCTGCAGTTCCTCAGGTGACCGCCAGAGGCCGCCTCCCAAAGTGTGCCAATCCCCATAAAGCCCCATGTTTAAATCTTGACAGCAGACATAATCATGTTTGGTACACACGTCTGTTTTGCTCCTTGTCTATGACAGATGTGTCCCTGAACTAAACCAGGACTCACCTGTTTACGTCACCTGTTCAGTCTGAAGAGACGTCACGTCCTCCCAATCCTGTCTGTGATATTTTGAGCCGCCTCCATCTTCTTCCATCGACCTGTAAACACTCCTAATGAACATAAATATGTATCTGCTCTTTGTGTATCTAACCGTTGAGTGATGAATGTTCGCTTGGTTTCGAATGTTGTGATTTTTGCGGTTGTGGGAAAAGATGAAACAGGACTTTGCAGAAAGCAGCTGCTGAAGGTCCGTTTCTCACACTGAGCAGAAACGACGCCGAGCTTCATCAAGACAAATAAAGAAAAAGAGTCCTGATTGGAGCTGCTCTCAACCCTCAGATCCTTCCACAAAAACACGACGAGGTTAGAAAGTCCTTCACAGTTGGTGAGAAGTTTAATAGAGCCCAAATCACAACAAAAAATTATTACATAAAAAATTAGTCAAAAGAGAAAATAAAGAATCAAAATCAAATAAACACATGAAAGAAAACAAACAATAAAAGAAAACAAATGATTAAAAATTGAATAAAAGACGAGAAGAGGAAATAAAAATGTAGGAAAAGGGAATTGAAAAAAATGGAAGTAACAAAATACAAAAAAACTTTTTGGAATTTTTTTTCTTTTTTAAATTTAAGTAAGAATAATAATTAATTGAGATGAAAAGAGCAGGAAGACTGAAAAAGGAAAAGAGAAAAAGGGGAAAAAAAGAATAAAACAATCTAAAGAAAAAGGAAGAAAAAAAATCATTTAAAACCAAATGACAGAAATAAATAAAATTAAAATAAATGAAAGTTAAATAGAAAAAATAAAAAATAGAATAAAAACAAACTGATATAAAGAAAAACAGAATTACAAAAAAAGAAAGAATGAAAAAAAATGTTTTTTCAAATGTTTAGATAATAATGCCCCTTAGGTCCACATAAGCACTAAAGCTCTGCACACAGTTTAAACACACACACACACACACACACACACACACACACAGTTACTGCCCGACTTCCTGTTCATTGTGTCACGTTTGATGTTTAAATTAAAGCCATCAATCAACATTTGGCTCTTATTAAAGTCCCCCTCGGAGCGAGCGAGTGAGCGAGCGAGAGAGAGAGTTAGAGAGTTAGTCTTGAACCTGTGTTGTCCTCTGTTGTCATGATTTAGTGTTAATTTCTGTTTTTATTGATCCCTCAAACTTCATGGTTCCTCTGATCAGGATCCTTCAGGTCCAGCTGGAGAGACTTTCTTCTTCTTTGGTTTTATGGTCTTAATCTGGTGGATTTATTCTGCCTGCAGCAGTGAAGCTGACTGTGGAGGTTACAGTTGAATTATGGGTAAACTTGGCTGAGATGGAAATGGACTGAATGATTTTTAATTCTACGTTGAAAAGACAACTTTCAATCTCCTCCTTTCCATGCGGAGATTCCCACTCCAGAGTCATGTGACTAACATGTGACTATAATCAGAGTTCTCAAACTCTGATTATAGTCGGACTAAGGTGTTTACATGACCTTCAGTTGTCCGGTCTTAATCGGAATAAGGCGATAATTCGGTTTTCTCGAGTGTCATGGAAACGGACTGTCTTGTGTTCACTCGCTTCAGTCCCAACATGGTTGCTGCTTTGTTTGTGGTCATGTGACGGTTGCTCTGGCCGAGATGTTCTCCAAGGTCAGGGTTAGGACACTGGATGGTCCCGGCTCGTTGGCGTCTTTGGGCAGCAGCTGAGGACGAGTTCGGACGCGCTCTTCTTCTGGCACATCAAGCCTGTTCGGATGTTTCTAATCCCCTAAAAAAAAAGACCGGTTTCATGAAAACCCTGACTCGTCTGGTCCAGACTTGACTCCCAGCTTCTCCTCCACCTCTGCTGTGGAGCTCCGGCCCTCTTTGGTTTGGGAACACCGTCCTGAGGAGTCACCCAAACATGGACGATGTGTTAAACAATGGAGTAACAGAAAAACACGATGAAGGAGATCCAGACTTGACGGACAGAAAAAAGGAAGAAACTGAATCCAAGACAAACGTTTCTGAGGAAACTGAAGGAAGAGAAGAAGAGAGGAACACGAAGGAGGAGAAGAAGGAAGAAAGGAGGAAGTAATTTGGCTGTCAGAGTGAGGCGGAGAGACACGAGAGGACGACAAATCAACACAAACAGACCAACACATGTCCAAACACACACACATGCTGCAGAGTGTGTCAGAGCCAACACTCACTCAGATGTATGTTTGTCTTACCGGCTGTTTTTCCACTCACCCACTCACCCACTCACTCACTCACTTGCTGGGTGGATGTTTACCTTGCTGCCTCGCCCACATCCTCCTCTTTTTCCACCATCGTTCATATTTCAGCGTTTATTACAACTCCAGTTCGACGTTTCATTTACTCCCCCGTTTCAAACCTGACAACCAACCAGACGACCTGACAGGAAGTCCTGAGGGCCGTGCTCCGATACCGCCGTCATGGAAAACCCCAAACATTCAGTTTAGTATCAGAAACAGTAAAAATCTCTTGGTAGGACCGACTCTGAACAGACCAGATCCCAGACCGTCCCGCTCTCATCAAACTCTGTTGGAGCTTCATCGATCCTCTACCTGTCGGCCCGCAGACTCCCAGCTGACTCCTAACTCGAGTTGACCTGCGCCACTCGAGCGTCGTCTCCTTTTGTCGTCGTCCTCGGTGATGCAGGTGTTTCTGCTGAACCAATCAGAGCGCAGAGCAGCCTGTCGGCGGCGGCGGCTTCCCGTGTCTTTGTCTGTGGTGCTCCCTCTGTTCGCTCCCCCGATAAAAACAATTTGTCTGAATTTGTCACGGTTTGTAGAAACTTCCAGGTCACTGAGACGTGGTCCCGGATTAGGACGACAAAGACTGAGTGTGTTTTGTTTTGGTCTGCCCCGTGAAAGAGGTCGATGAAGTTTGTGCTTCGAATAATTAGACATGAACTTTAAGGTTTAACACGGCGTCTGTGTTCTGGATGAGCGGCACTGCTGAATAATGAACTTCAGCTGCAGTTCCTTAAGTGTCCACAAGAGGCTGTCTCCTGATGTGAGTCAGTCTCCGTGTTTAACCCTGTTGAAGCTCCATCCAGCCGACTCTGTCCCCAAAGAGTTCATAAAATCATCATTTTAAACATTTTTTTTTACTTTTTTCGACTCTAATCTCTTAAATAACTTCAGCCCTGATCATTAAAAAGATAATGAATAAAGAATTTGATGTTTTTCCCTTTTTATTCCAGTTTTTGTTCACCGTCATATTTATTGATAAAGTCTGTTGGAGCAGAAAAACTCGACATTTTCTCCTCCTTTTCTCGAACCTCGTCCTCGACCAAATCAAATACGATCAAATTCATGTGTTCATAATAAATTAATTTTATATATAAACATATAAAATCAGCAGATATATGTAAGATAGGAATCATTTCTGAGTGTTTATCCTCCTCTAACTAAAATCTGACCGTGATTACTCTGATATAAAAATAACTGCTGATTTGAGATGTGATATCTTCTCCCCTGATGATCTGAAGGACCTGTTCATCCTCATGCATGTCCATCCACCTGCTCTGAAGTGAGGACAAAGTTGAAATTGTCCAAATGTCCCCCTCTCTTTGTCCCACACTGCAGAACTTGGACGTCAGATTCTCGACTGTAAAAACTCGCGTCATGCCCGGTTCTAAACATGGACGCAGATTCTCACCCGTGCACACACGCAGGAGCACACAGACTTCTCCTTCCACACATATCCCACTCTGAGACATCCAGATCTAGTGTCCTGTAAAGTTTCCTTCATGTCTGAGGATGTTTAGTGGATGAATCTTCAGACTCTCTCAGTCCATGAATGAAGACTTGCTGGAGCCGTAAACACACGCTCAAAAAAACTGTTTTTAATGGAAGTCTATTGGCCGATTTGTGGACGAAGGAGGGTGGGCGGAGCTAAAGTGACGGAGAACAACAGGAGACACCGAGGGTTTTTTTTTAATATGAAGAAAAATAAGAACTCTCACTTAATCTGATGCCCCGATCTTTAAAACTGTGACTGTCAGCTCAGAATAAAGATGACAAAAATGGACAAATGGAACTGAGGGTTAAGTGTCGAAATTTTACCAAATAACTCTCCAGATTCAAGTCTCTCCATGAAAAACCAAACCTGGTTTTGCCTCCTGGAGGTGTGTCCATGTCTGTGACATGAACCTGCTGTTAAACTTCCACCTTCTCTGCCTGTTTTTACCGTCTGATCTCAGAGGGACTCGAGGAGAAAGTCGTTGAGTTTCCTTTTCTCTGAATTTTTGGAAATGAGGCTGAAACCCTCACTCCTGTCGAATAAACATCTGAAATGGAAATGAAGCTTCTCTGGAGACTAAGATCAGGGCTACCGTACTGAACCGTTACGGACTCAGAGATCCAGACTCATGTTTCACATACAGGACTCTGTGGTCTTTGTAGACGGGTTCATGAGGAGCACTCGGTTCCTCTGTCCAGGTGAGACTCTTCAGCTCAGAGCCTCTCAGTTTTTCCATCAGACACGTTCATGGAGTTCAGTCCGGACTTGAAAAGGCAGGTTTTTGTTTTTCTGGCCCTGACACCTGGACCGGGTTCGAGCGGTTCCTTTAAGTTCGTGGACTTTGACAGAACTCAGACGTCCTCACGGACACCAGAGTTCAGATCAGACGATAAAAACCCTCAAAGTTTGATCTCATGTTTGTTTGTTTGTTTGTTTGTTTGCAGGTGAAACACAACGGTCTGATCCAGGACATGAACCATCTGACAGCAGGACCCATCACTGTACCTGGTCAGTACACACACAAACACACACAAACACACACATATACACAACATCCCATGATGCCCCAGTTGTCCTCAGATCTTATGTGTGTTTGTCGGTCCATTCACCGCCTCAACAATATCCTTTTCTTCACTCTCTTCTTCTCTGTTCCCTCCTTCTCTGTTTAGTAAACAGCACCAGTGTGTGTGTGTGTGTGTGTGTGTGTGTGTGTGTGTGTGTGTTGTGTTGTGTGTACCTCAGAGATTTAACTGAGCGTGAAAACGTGCAGCTTAGGACATTCATTGGCCCGCCTGTCTGCTGCATTCCTGTGTGTGTGTGTGTGTGTGTGTGTGTGTGTGTGTGTGTGTGTGTGTGTGTGTGTGTGAGTGTGAGTGTGTGTGTGTGTGTTGCTTAAGAGCCAAGAAATAACTGAGAACAAACAGTAAAGAAGTGTGTGTCTATTATCAGAGGGGACGGCTGATGTTATATAATGAGTCATAATAATAAAACCGACTGAAATACGACGGCGGACGGACGGACAGAAAGTTGGACCTGATGGTTCTGCTTCATGAGTTTGGGTTCTGTGACCCGAGGTGAACCAAAAGATAACAAAGACACTCGGCCGTGTCAGAAAAGTGATTTAATTATCCTTAAAAGGGACTTTAAATCAATTAGTATCCATCCGCCGGACCCTGAGCTGGTGCTGAAGAGCGGTCCGATCCTGAACCGGGTCCACTGAGAGGCGGAGAGAGTTGGACCAAACAAACTTTCTGTGACGTGTTTGTTTCACGTCCAACAGCTGATCTCAGATCTGGTCTTTGCATAAACTGACGCTGTGATGACGCTCGTGTGGGTGTTACTTTTTACACCGTCATAAAACAACCTTTAGAGAAATCAGCTGCTGAGTGGACTCATCCATCAGAACTTTCCTGAGAGGAACCCGACACTGAGATGTAGCCGCGTCTCAAAACGAGAATTACACAAGTTACAGAGCAGATACAGTAAAACTGAGACTCCAAGGAGACGGCAGGAGAAACAGGAACTCACAAGAGACAAACAGAGAGACGATAAAACTCAGACTTCTGTGAAACAGTGAAGCTGAGACTTGTTTTCAAAAACAGATGAACAGTGAAACTGAGACTCGGTGAAGACAGCAGGAGAGAGTAAAACTTGAACTAAAGAGACTAATGGTATCACTTGTAGTACACAGAGACAGTGAAACAGACACTTTAAAGCATAGTACGCCACAGTAAAACTGAGACTCACTTAAAACAGTTATAGAGTTATAGAGTGACAGGAAAACTTCGAAAACATGATGGAGATACAATGAAACTGAGACTCTTTATAAACAGAGGAAAATACAGGGAGACATAGACCTGTTAAAAACAGATAAAGGTACAGTAAAACTGAGACTCCAGGAAGATGACAGGAGAAACAGGAACTCACAAGAGACAAAAGGAGAGACGATAAAACTCAGACTTCTGTGAAACAGATACAGTGAAACTGAGACTGAGTGGGACTAAAGAGACCAGTGGTATCACTTGTAGTACACAGAGATACAGTAAAACAGACCCTTTAAGTAAAACTTACTTGAAAACGGTGAAGACACAGTGAATCTGAGACTTTGAAGAGAAATTCTGAGATACAATGAAACTGAGAGTCAGTCGAGACAGGTGAGAAACACAAAAACTAAGACTCCTCTGAAAGACATGGAGTGAAACAGTAAAACTGAGACCCATCTGAATCAGATGGAGATACGATGAAGCTGAGACTCTTTTTGAACAGAACAGAGAGATGGAGACCTGATAAAACAGATGGAGGTACAGTGAAACTGAGACTCCATCAATAAATATAAAAATACAGTAAAACTGAGATTTGGTGATAAAAATCTAAGAAACGATGAAACTCAGTTCATGATGGATCAGAATGAACAAGTGAAAGATGAATGAATGAAGGTGTTACATAATCTTATTCATTAATGCGACACACACACACACACACACACACACACACACTCTGACACTTGTTGAGTGTCATTGGAGGGGAAACCGGTTCCTAATGGGGTGAAAATAGAAGCACTGTTCACACACACGCACACACACACAAACCGACACAGTCATGCATGAAACCATGATCCAGGCCGACACACACACACACTCAGATGGTCATGTGATCATGCACGTGTGGCCTCATACACACACACACACACACACTCAGACTGTGAGAGTTCAGCTCATTAGCGCTGCTCTTTAAAAAAACGGATGATTGTCGAGCGTTTCCTAAAATAGACGTTTGTTCGCTCAGCTGTCGACTCCGACACAACAGAGCTGTTGTACGTCCACATGGGAAGATCAGGAGTGATCGGAGAACTGATCTGAAGACCCATCTGTGACGCCCCACTGCACCGCTTCTTCTGTTAGCAAACATCCAGGGTCCGGTTTGACGGGTCTACGAACACCTGAGAGAGACGCACCAGCGCCACTCCATCAGCTCCCAGAACCTCCTGACAGGAAGTCAAAGAGAGAGAGAGAGAGAGGTCAGAGGCGTCGTTCAGTGATGTCTTCATCATTGCATCTTTTTCTCATCATCATCATCATTAGGGCCCGAGCCAGCTGCAGAGCAGCCGGGCGTAGGCCCTATTATTCCCCAAGTGGTTTTTCTTTGTTTCTTTCTTTCTTTCTTTAGGGCCCGAGCGTAGCTGCTAAGCAGCTGCGAGAGCCCTCTTGTTCCTGCATGTTTCCTTCTTTTGTTATTATTAGGGCCCGAGCCAGCTGCAGAGCAGCCGGGCGTAGGCCCTATTATTCCCCAAGTGGTTTTTCTTTGTTTCTTTCTTTCTTTCTTTCTTTCTTTCTTCTTTTTCCTCCCCTTTGAACTGGAAAATGGCCCACTTCCCACTGGCGAAAACTCATGAAATTTGGCAGGACGACCGGGCCTGGTGAAAAATTCGATATTCTGAAGTCGCCCAAACAATAAAATGCAAAATGGCTCCATAGCGCCCCCTAAGGTGGAAATTCACACTATTGACTGTCACGCCTGTACGCTTTGTCATATTGACACAAAAATTGACACACATATGTATCTCAATAAGATCTACAAAAAAGTCAGTGCGGGCGTATCTGTCAAATGTACGGTTAAAGGGTTATTTCGCATTTTTTGCCGATCCGCACACATTGGAATTTCGCTAACTCCTCCGAAGGCTTTCGTTCCACCGGCACCACATTTGCTCAGGCCAATCTACACCCCGTGGCCATTAAAAGTTATCAAAATCATGACGCTGCACCCCACGGTTTAGGTTCTAGGGGGCGCCAAAGATAACACTAAAATCCACATATTTAAAAGTCTTATAACTTTTTATTTTTGTCCTCACTGGCCTCCAAGTTTTCTAGGATGATGCAATGTCCAGCCATCAACACATTTGTGAAGGAATTTTTACTCCCCAAAAGAGCGCCCCCCCATGGCAGGAGAAAAAAGTCCATTTTTTCTTGTCCCCTAAGGTGAAAATACACATTGTTGAGTGTCACGCCTATACGCTTTGTCAAAATGACACAAAAATTGACACACACATGTAACTCAATAAGATCTACGAAAAAGTCAATGCGCGCGTATCTGTCAAATGTACGGTTAAAGGGTTATTCCGCATTTTTTGCCGATCCGCACACATTGGAATGTGGCTAACTCCTCCTAAGGCTTTCGTTCCACCGGCACCACATTTGCTCAGGACAATCTACACCCCATGGCCATTAAAAGTTATTCAAATCATGACGCTGCACCCCACGGTTTAGGTTCTAGGGGGCGCCAAAGATAACCCTAAAATCCACATATTTAAAAGTCTTATAACTTTTTATTTTTGTCCTCACTGGCCTCCAAGTTTTCTAGGATGATGCAATGTCCAGCCATCAACACATTTGTGAAGGAATTTTTACTCCCCAAAAGAGCGCCCCCCATGGCAGGAGAAAAAAGTCCATTTTTTCTTGTCCCCTAAGGTGAAAATACATATTGTTGAGATTCACGCCTATACGCTTTGTCATATTGACACAAAATTTGACAATCACGTGCCTTGCCTGGTATCATTTTTTTCAGCACAACCTCACCTGTGCGAATTTACAGTTATTTTATCATGTTGACATACTGAATTTACACAATGGACCCAAATTTACACACAAAACATAAAATCCGAGTGGAAAAAAGTAACATTTTTACTGTGAAAACCACAAATATGTGTGATGAACTGTTTTTAAAACTTAAACTTCAAATAAAAATTGTAAACTTCAAAACATATGCAAATTTTTAACAAAGAACATAGTGATTTACCTCTATTTTCAACAAAATGCAGGCAATGGCCCAGGCGTTCTTTGTAAAATTATTTACAAAACACTGTATAGTCTCACAAATGTCACTTTTTATTTATGCCACTACAAAAAAACATGATGTAAATGATGCATGATGTAAAACATGATGTAAAAAACTTGTGTAGATCCTCCTCTATGTCAGTCCATGTGTAATTTTTCCATAATTCTTTGTTTTTTGCAGCATTTTTGTTAGTGTAACTGCAGATTGTGCTGACAGTGTCTATGGCACAAAAAAAAAAAAAAATTAAAATGCCTCAACATGAACCCCTGGTGGTCTCTGAGGGTGAAACCTGCTAACTGCTGCAGCTCTGTCAGCTTCAGTCTCCCATGCAGAACTCTGAGCGCATGTGTGGCTCTGCACCCTTAGCAGCGTTGCTAACTCCTCAGTAAGGAAAGCCTGCTTCATGTCAGAGTCTCTAAACTCCAGAAGAAGTCGATAAAAGTCCCTTTCTTTCTAAAAAAAAGTCGTTAGGGGGTCTGAAAAGTCATTGAATCTAACAACAAAGTCGCTAGGTTTGCAACTACGTGTCCCAGACTGCATCCCTGCTGAGAGTCCCTCCCTCCCTTCTCATGTTGCAGGAAGAACGTAAGCACCCGCCCCTTGTCAATCAGTCACCATATAATTTTGGATTGGTTGTTGTGGTGAAGTTTTCCACCAATAGGAGAGATGTTGTGGTGTGTTTTTTTTTCTTTTGGCAAGCCTTTTCCGCCTGTAAGACCTGTCGCTAATGTCTGCATGCTATGTTTTCCTGTCTCATACAGCGCGATCGAGCGCCGAACGTGATCAAAATAAGCAGAAAAAAAGTATCACGGACATAATTTATCATAACTCTGGTTTTATTTGGCCTATCAACACAATTTAAAAACTGGTATATAGGTTGAGGTCCTCACTTTTGAGATAAGTTGAAACAGAGAGTCAACGAGGCTCCGTCTTGCAGCTACATCCGGTTAAATATGTCATGTGACTTGAACGCACACACACACACGCACACACACACACACACACACGCACACACACACACACACACTCAGAGTCTGGTTTTTAGCACCTGCAAAAACATGCTATTTACATATTTGACAAGAATGCAGAGGCTCCTTTTGCCCCTGAAAAAAATCAAATTTCAAACACAACTTGACTGGTCATTTCTCCAAAAGACAACCATGAAGCTCCATCCAAACCTGAAGCAGGCAGTTGGTGCATGTGTACAGTAACCTGAGGGGAGTGAGGTGAGTGCTTCTGAGGAGAACATGAGCAGTGAAGATTCACCTTGGAGCTAGAACAGAGACATGCACATGATTATACAGGGGCAGGGGCTCAAGTTTTTTCCAGTCGTTTATACAATATGGAAATTAATGTGAAATTAAAACACAAAGTATTAATAGAAAGGTAATGACTGTCCTGTGTAGGTGACAGTGATATCCAATAGGCTAGGCACTCACGAGGCTGGCTGTGGCAAGTGTAAGTGAAAGCAACACGCACTGGCAGGAAGAACAGCAAACGCCGATGAAGGAAAAGGGTCTTTGCAGTGATGGGCGTTACCAGAGAGGGCGATGGCCGGAGGACACAAATGGGACGGAAAGGCAGCACGTTGGGGGGGGGGGGGGGGGGGACGCAACACGGCTCGGGCCCGCCAGTGCCCCAACGGGGTCCTAGTCTTTGTTTCTTTCTTTCTTTTTTCTTTTTCCTCCCCTTTGAACTGGAAAATGGCCCACTTCCCACTGGCGAAAACTCATGAAATTTGGCAGGAGGACCGGGCCTGGTGAAAAATTTGATATTCTGAAGTCGCCCAAACAATAAAATGCAAAATGGCTCCATAGCGCCCCCTAAGGTGAAAATTCACACTATTGACTGTCACGCCTGTACGCTTTGTCATATTGACACAAAAATTGACACACATATGTATCTCAATAAGATCTACAAAAAAGTCAGTGCGGCCGTATCTGTAAAAATTACGGTTAAAGGGTTATTTCGCATTTTTTGCCGATCCGCACACATTGGAATTTCGCTAACTCCTCCGAAGGCTTTCGTTCCACCGGCACCACATTTGCTCAGGCCAATCTACACCCCGTGGCCATTAAAAGTTATCAAAATCATGACGCTGCACCCCAAGATTTAGGTTCTAGGGGGCGCCAAAGATAACACTAAAATCCACATATTTAAAAGTCTTATAACTTTTTATTTTTGTCCTCACTGGCCTCCAAGTTTTCTAGGATGATGCAATGTCCAGCCATCAACACATTTGTGAAGGAATTTTTACTCCCCAAAAGAGCGCCCCCCCATGGCAGGAGAAAAAAGTCCATTTTTTCTTGTCCCCTAAGGTGAAAATACACATTATTGAGTGTCACGCCTATACGCTTTGTCAAAATGACACAAAAATTGACACACACATGTAACTCAATAAGATCTACGAAAAAGTCAATGCGCGCGTATCTGTCAAATGTACGGTTAAAGGGTTATTCCGCATTTTTTGCCGATCCGCACACATTGGAATTTCGCTAACTCCTCCTAAGGCTTTCGTTCCACCGGCACCACATTTGCTCAGGCCAATCTACACCCCATGGCCATTAAAAGTTATCAAAATCATGACGCTGCACCCCACGGTTTAGGTTCTAGGGGGCGCCAAAGATAACACTAAAATCCACATATTTAAAAGTCTTATAACTTTTTATTTTTGTCCTCACTGGCCTCCAAGTTTTCTAGGATGATGCAATGTCCAGCCATCAACACATTTGTGAAGGAATTTTTACTCCCCAAAAGAGCGCCCCCCCATGGCAGGAGAAAAAAGTCCATTTTTTCTTGTCCCCTAAGGTGAAAATACACATTGTTGAGTGTCACGCCTATACGCTTTGTCAAAATGACACAAAAATTGACACACACATGTAACTCAATAAGATCTACGAAAAAGTCAATGCGCGCGTATCTGTCAAATGTACGGTTAAAGGGTTATTCCGCATTTTTTGCCGATCCGCACACATTGGAATTTCGCTAACTCCTCCTAAGGCTTTCGTTCCACCGGCACCACATTTGCTCAGGCCAATCTACACCCCATGGCCATTAAAAGTTATCAAAATCATGACGCTGCACCCCACGGTTTAGGTTCTAGGGGGCGCCAAAGATAATCCTAAAATCCACATATTTAAAAGTCTTATAACTTTTTATTTTTGTCCTCACTGGCCTCCAAGTTTTCTAGGATGATGCAATGTCCAGCCATCAACACATTTGTGAAGGAATTTTTACTCCCCAAAAGAGCGCCCCCCCATGGCAGGAGAAAAAAGTCCATTTTTTCTTGTCCTCTAAGGTGAAAATACATATTGTTGAGATTCACGCCTATACGCTTTGTCATATTGACACAAAATTTGACAATCACGTGCCTTGCCTGGTATCATTTTTTTCAGCACAACCTCACCTGTGCGAATTTACAGTTATTTTATCATGTTGACATACTGAATTTACACAATGGACCCAAATTCACACACAAAACATAAAATCCGAGTGGAAAAAAGTAACATTTTTACTGTGAAAACCACAAATATGTGTGATGAACTGTTTTTAAAACTTAAACTTCAAATAAAAATTGTAAACTTCAAAACATATGCAAATTTTTAACAAAGAACATAGTGATTTACCTCTATTTACATCAAAATGCAGGCAATGGCCCAGGCGTTCTTTGTAAAATTATTTACAAAACACTGTATAGTCTCACAAATGTCACTTTTTATTTATGCCACTACAAAAAAACATGATGTAAATGATGCATGATGTAAAACATGATGTAAAAAACTTGTGTAGATCCTCCTCTATGTCAGTCCATGTGTAATTTTTCCATAATTCTTTGTTTTTTGCAGCATTTTTGTTAGTGTAACTGCAGATTGTGCTGACAGTGTCTATGGCACAAAAAAAAAAAATAAATTAAAATGCCTCAACATGAACCCCTGGTGGTCTCTGAGGGTGAAACCTGCTAACTGCTGCAGCTCTGTCAGCTTCAGTCTCCCATGCAGAGCTCTGAGCGCATGTGTGGCTCTGCACCCTTAGCAGCGTTGCTAACTCCTCAGTAAGGAAAGCCTGCTTCATGTCAGAGTCTCTAAACTCCAGAAGAAGTCGATAAAAGTCCCTTTCTTTCTAAAAAAAAGTCGTTAGGGGGTCTGAAAAGTCATTGAATCTAACAACAAAGTCGCTAGGTTTGCAACTACGTGTCCCAGACTGCATCCCTGCTGAGAGTCCCTCCCTCCCTTCTCATGTTGCAGGAAGAACGTAAGCGCCCGCCCCTTGTCAATCAGTCACCATATAATTTTGGATTGGTTGTTGTGGTGAAGTTTTCCACCAATAGGAGAGATGTTGTGGTGTGTTTTTTTTTTCTTTTGGCAAGCCTTTTCCGCCTGTAAGAGCTGTCGCTAATGTCTGCATGCTATGTTTTCCTGTCTCATACAGCGCGATCGAGCGCCGAATGTGATCAAAATAAGCAGAAAAAAAGTATCGCGGACATAATTTATCATAACTCTGGTTTTATTTGGCCTATCAACACAATTTAAAAACTGGTATATAGGTTGAGGTCCTCACTTTTGAGATAAGTTGAAACGGAGAGTCAACGAGGCTCCGTCTTGCAGCTACATCCGGTTAAATATGTCATGTGACTTGAACGCACACACAGACACACACACACGCACACACACACACACACACACACACACACACACTCAGAGTCTGGTTTTTAGCACCTGCAAAAACATGCTATTTACATATTTGACAAGAATGCAGAGGCTCCTTTTGCCCCTGAAAAAAATCAAATTTCAAACACAACTTGACTGGTCATTTCTCCAAAAGACAACCATGAAGCTCCATCCAAACCTGAAGCAGGCAGTTGGTGCATGTGTACAGTAACCTGAGGGGAGTGAGGTGAGTGCTTCTGAGGAGAACATGAGCAGTGAAGATTCACCTTGGAGCTAGAACAGAGACATGCACATGATTATACAGGGGCAGGGGCTCAAGTTTTTTCCAGTCGTTTATACAATATGGAAATTAATGTGAAATTAAAACACAAAGTATTAATAGAAAGGTAATGACTGTCCTGTGTAGGTGACAGTGATATCCAATAGGCTAGGCACTCACGAGGCTGGCTGTGGCAAGTGTAAGTGAAAGCAACACGCACTGGCAGGAAGAACAGCAAACGCAGATGAAGGAAAAGGGTCTTTGCAGTGATGGGCGTTACCAGAGAGGGCGATGGCCAGAGGACACAAATGGGACGGGGAGGCAGCACGTTATGGGGGGGGGGGGGGGGACGCGACACGGCTCGGGCCCGCCAGTGCCCCAACGGGGGCCTAGTTAGGGCCCGAGCCAGCTGCAGAGCAGCCGGGCGTAGGCCCTATTATTCCCCAAGTGGTTTTTCTTTGTTTCTTTCTTTCTTTTTTCTTTTTCCTCCCCTTTGAACTGGAAAATGGCCCACTTCCCACTGGCGAAAACTCATGAAATTTGGCAGGATGACCGGGCCTGGTGAAAAATTTGATATTCCGAAGTCGCCCAAACAAGAAAATGCAAAATGGCTCCATAGCGCCCCCTAAGGTGAAAATTCACACTATTGACTGTCACGCCTGTACGCTTTGGCAAAATGACACAAAAATTGACACACACATGTATCTCAATAAGATCTACAAAAAAGTCAGTGCGGTCGTATCTGTCAAATGTACGGTTAAAGGGTTATTGCGCATTTTTTGCCGATCCGCACACATTGGAATTTCGCTAACTCCTCCGAAGGCTTTCGTTCCACCGGCACCACATTTGCTCAGGCCAATCTACACCCCGTGGCCATTAAAAGTTATCAAAATCATGACGCTGCACCCCAAGGTTTAGGTTCTAGGGGGCGCCAAAGATAACACTAAAATCCACATATTTAAAAGTCTTATAACTTTTTATTTTTGTCCTCACTGGCCTCCAAGTTTTCTAGGATGATGCAATGTCCAGCCATCAACACATTTGTGAAGGAATTTTTACTCCCCAAAAGAGCGCCCCCCCATGGCAGGAGAAAAAAGTCCATTTTTTCTTGTCCCCTAAGGTGAAAATTCACACTATTGACTGTCACGCCTGTACGCTTTGTCAAAATGACACAAAAATTGACACACACATGTATCTCAATAAGATCTACAAAAAAGTCAATGCGCGCGTATCTGTCTAATGTACGGTTAAAGGGTTATTTCGCATTTTTTGCCGATCCGCACACATTGGAATTTCGCTAACTCCTCCGAAGGCTTTCGTTCCACCGGCACCACATTTGCTCAGGCCAATCTACACCCCATGGCCATTAAAAGTTATTCAAATCATGACGCTGCACCCCACGATTTACGTTCTAGGGGGCGCCAAAGATAACCCAAAAATCCACATTTTTAAAAGTCTTATAACTTTTTATTTTTGTCCTCACTGGCCTCCAAGTTTTCTAGGATGATGCAATGTCCAGCCATCAACACATTTGTGAAGGAATTTTTACTCCCCAAAAGAGCGCCCCCCCATGGCAGGAGAAAAAAGTCCATTTTTTCTTGTCCCCTAAGGTGAAAATACACATTGTTGACTGTCACGCCTGTACGCTTTGGCAAAATGACACAAAAATTGACAATCATGTGTATCTCAATTAGATCTACGAAAAAGTCAAAGAGCGCGTATCTGTATAATGTACGGTAAAAGGGCTATTTTGCATTTTTTGCCGATTCGCACACATTGGAATTTCGCTAACTCCTCCTAAGGCTTTCGTCCCACTGACACCAAATTTGCTCAGGCCAATCTACACTCCATGGCCATTCAAAGTTGTAAAAATCATGACGCTGCACCCCACGGTTTACGTTTTAGGGGGCGCCAAAGATGACCCAAATATACATTACAGTAGACAAAGTAGTTTTGCCCACTGAGTGGCGCCAAAGGGACTTGTCTGTGGAGTCTGTGAGTCACTATTGGCCGTTTTTGACTACTTTAGATTTTACCTTTATATTTCCTCTTACAAAATTTTTACCTTGCCTTGCCTGGTATCATTTTTTTCAGCACAACCTCACCTGTGTCAATTTACAGTTATTTTACCATTTTGACATACTATATTTACACATTGGACCCAAATTCACACACAAAACATAAAATCCGAGTGGAAAAAAGTAACGTTTTTACTGTGAAAACCACAAATATGTGTGATGAACTGTTTTTAAAACTTAAACTTCAAATAAAAATTGTAAACTTCAAAACATATGCAAATTTTTAACAAAGAACATAGTAATTTACCTCTATTTACATCAAAATGCAGGCAATGGCCCAGGTGTTCTTTGTAAAATTATTTACAAAACACTGTATAGTCTCACAAATGTCACTTTTTATTTATGCCACTACAAAAAAACATGATGTAAATGATGCATGATGTAAAACATGATGTAAAAAACTTGTGTAGATCCTCCTCTATGTTAGTCCATGTGTAATTTTTCCATAATTCTTTGTTTTTTGCAGCATTTTTGTTAGTGTAACTGCAGATTGTGCTGACAGTGTCTATGGCAAAAAAAAAAAAAAAAAACTGAAAATGCCTCAACATGAACCCCTGGTGGTCTCTGAGGGTGAAACCTGCTAACTGCTGCAGCTCTGTCAGCTTCAGTCTCCCATGCAGAGCTCGGAGCGCATGTGTGGCTCTGCACCCTTAGCAGCGTTGCTAACTCCTCAGTAAGGAAAGCCTGCTTCATGTCAGAGTCTCTAAACTCCAGAAGAAGTCGATAAAAGTCACTTTCTTTCTAAAAAAAAGTCGTTAGGGGGTCTGAAAAGTCATTGAATCTAACAACAAAGTCGCTAGGTTTGCAACTACGTGTCCCAGACTGCATCCCTGCTGAGAGTCCCTCCCTCGCTTCTCATATTGCAGGAAGAACGTAAGTTCCCGCCCCTTGTCAATCAGTCACCATATAATTTTGGATTGGTTGTTGTGGTGAAGTTTTCCACCAATAGGAGAGATGTTGTGGTGTGTATTTTTTTTCCTTTGGCAAGCCTTTTCCGCCTGTAAGAGCTGTCGCTAATGTCTGCATGCTATGTTTTCCTGTCTCATACAGCGCGATCGAGCGCCGAACGTGATCAAAATAAGCAGAAAACAAGTATCGCGGACATAATTTATCATAACTCTGGTTTTATTTGGCCTATCAACACAATTTAAAAACTGGTATATAGGTTGAGGTCCTCACTTTTGAGATAAATTGAAACGGAGAGTCAACGAGGCTCCGTCTTGCAGCTACATCCGGTTAAATATGTCATGTGACTTGAACGCACACACACACACACACACAGACACACACACACACGCACACACACACACTCAGAGTCTGGTTTGTAGCACCTGCAAAAACATGCTATTTACATATTTGACAAGAATGCAGAGGCTCCTTTTGCCCCTGAAAAAAATCAAATTTCAAACACAACTTGACTGGTCATTTCTCCAAAAGACAACCATGAAGCTCCATCCAAACCTGAAGCAGGCAGTTGGTGCATGTGTACAGTAACCTGAGGGGAGTGAGGTGACTGCTTCTGAGGAGAACATGAGCAGTGAAGATTTACCTTAGAGCTAGAACAGAGACGTGCACATGATTATACAGGGGCAGGGGCTCAAGTTTTTTCCAGTCGTTTATACAATTTGGAAATTAATGTGAAATTAAAAAACAAAGTATTAATAGAAAGGTAATGACTGTCCTGTGTAGGTGACAGTGATATCCAATAGGCTAGGCACTCACGAGGCTGGCTGTGGCAAGTGTAAGTGAAAGCAACACGCACTGGCAGGAAGAACAGCAAACGCCGATGAAGGAAAAGGGTCTTTGCAGTGATGGGCGTTACCAAAGAGGGCGATGGCCAGAGGACACAAATGGGACGGGGAGGCAGCGCGTTGGGGGGGGGACGCGACACAGCTCGGGCCCGCCAGTGCCCCAACGGGGTCCTAGTTAGGGCCCGAGCGTAGCTGCTAAGCAGCTGCGAGAGCCCTCTTGTTCCTGATGGATTCTTCTTTAGGGCCCGAGCCAGCTGCAGAGCAGCCGGGCGTAGGCCCTATTATTCCCCAAGTGGTTTTTCTTTGTTTCTTTCTTTCTTTAGGGCCCGAGCGTAGCTGCTAAGCAGCTGCGAGAGCCCTCTTGTTCCTGCATGTTTCCTTCTTTTGTTATTATTATTATTTTTCCTCCCCTTTGAACTGGAAAATGGCCCACTTCCCACTGGCAAAAACTCATGAAATTTGGCAGGACGACCGGGCCTGGTGAAAAATTTGATATTCCGAAGTCGCCCAAACAAGAAAATGCAAAATGGCTCCATAGCGCCCCCTAAGGTGAAAATTCACACTATTGACTGTCACGCGTGTACGCTTTGTCAAAATGACACAAAATTTGACACACACGTGTATCTCAATAAGATCTACAAAAAAGTCAGTGCGGGCGTATCTGTCAAATGTACGGTTAAAGGGTTATTTCGCATTATTTGCCGATCTGCACACATTGGAATTTCGCTAACTCCTCCGAAGGCTTTCGTTCCACCGGCACCACATTTGCTCAGGCCAATCTACACCCCATGGCCATTAAAAGTTATTCAAATCATGATGCTGCACCCCACGGTTTAGGTTCTAGGGGGCGCCAAAGATAACCCTAAGATCCACATATTTAAAAGTCTTATAACTTTTTATTTTTGCCCTCACTGGCCTCCAAGTTTTCTAGGATGATGCAATGTCCAGCCATCAACACATTTGTGAAGGAATTTTTACTCCCCAAAAGAGCGCCCCCCCATGGCAGGAGAAAAAAGTCCATTTTTTCTTGTCCCCTAAGGTGAAAATACACATTGTTGAGTGTAACACCTGTACGCTTTGGCAAAATGACACAAAAATTGACACACACATGTATCTCAATAAGATCTACGAAAAAGTCAATGCGCGCGTATCTGTCAAATGTACGGTTAAAGGGTTATTCCGCATTTTTTGCCGATCCGCACACATTTGAATTTCGCTAACTCCTCCGAAGGCTTTCGTTCCACCGGCACCACATTTGCTCAGGCCAATCTACACCCCATGGCCATTAAAAGTTATTCAAATCATGACGCTGCACCCCACGGTATAGGTTCTAGGGGGCGCCAAAGATAACCGTAAAATCCACATATTTAAAAGTCTTATAACTTTTTATTTTTGTCCTCACTGGCCTCCAAGTTTTCTAGGATGATGCAATGTCCAGCCATCAACACATTTGTGAAGGAATTTTTACTCCCCAAAAGAGCGCCCCCCCATGGCAGGAGAAAAAAGTCAATTTTTTCTTGTCCCCTAAGGTGGAAATTCACACTATTGACTGTCACGCCTGTACGCTTTATCATATTGACACAAAAATTGACACACATATGTATCTCAATAAGATCTACAAAAAAGTCAATGCGCGCGTATCTGTCAAATGTACAGTTAAAGGGCTATTTTGCATTTTTTGCCGATTCGCACACATTGGAATGTGGCTAACTCCTCCTAAGGCTTTCGTCCCACTGACACCAAATTTGCTCAGGCCAATCTACACCCCATGGCCATTCAAAGTTGTAAAAATCATGACGCTGCACCCCACGGTTTACGTTCTAGGGGGCGCCAAAGATGACCCAAATATCCACATTCTTAAAAGAATCCACATCCCCCCCCATCCCCCATCCCCCATGGCAGGAGAAACAGTCAAGTTTTTCCTGCCCATCACTCAATGGCTCAATCGCATCACTCTCCCGGCAACACCGTAACGAGGAGCAACCTGCCGTTTGGATATATCCTAGCTGTGTTTGTGCCCTCACTCATGGTCCAGACTTTTTTCAAATAGGACATGTAGTTTGTCTGCAGCGAGTGTTTTGGTAGAAACTGCGCCTCCCATTCATTATAATGGGAAATGACCACAGACAAGTGCGCACACCATCTTTGGACCTTGAGTGTGACGCGATCGGGAGGGGGAGGCGGTCGCGCTGGGGGCGGCGCAACGCGGCTCGGGCCCGACAGTGCCCCACCGGGGTCCTAGTTTCTTCTTCTTCTTCTTATTATTTTTCTGCCCCTTTGAACTGGAAAATGGCCCACTTCCCACTGGTGAAAACTCATGAAATTTGGCAGGACGACCGGGCCTGGTGAAAAATTCGATATTCTGAAGTCACCCAAACAATCAAATGCAAAATGGCTCCATAGCGCCCCCTAAGGTGAAAAATTCACATGATTGAGTGTCACGCCTGTACGCTTTGTCAAAATGACACAAAATTTGACACACACGTGTATCTCAATAAGATCTACAAAAAAGTCAGTGCGGGCGTATCTGTCAAATGTACGTTTAAAGGGCTATTTCGCATTTTTTGCCGATCCGCACACATTGGAATTTCGCTAACTCCTCAGAAGGCTTTCGTTCCACCGGCACCAAATTTGCTCAGGCCAATCTACACCCCATGGCCATTCAAAGTTGTACAAATCATGACGCTGCACCCCACGGTTTACGTTGTAGGGGGCGCCAAAGATAACCCAAAAATCCACATTCTTACAAGTCTTATAACTTTTTATTTTTGTCCTCACTGGCCTCCAAGTTTTCTAGGATGATGCAATGTCCAGCCATCAACACATTTGTGAAGGAATTTTTACTCCCCAAAAGAGCGCCCCCCCATGGCAGGAGAAAAAAGGCCATTTTTTCTTGTCCTATAAGGTGAAAATACACATTGTTGAGTGTCACGCCTGTACGCTTTGTCATATTGAAACAAAATTTGATAATCACGTGTATCTCAATAAGATCTACGAAAAAGTCAATGCGCACGTGTCTGCAAAATGTACGGTTAAAGGGCTATTTCGCATTTTTTGTTGATTCGCACACATTGGAATGTGGCTATCTCCTCCTAAGGCTTTCGTCCCACCGATACCAAATTTGCTCAGGCCAATCTACACCCCATGCCCATTCAAAGTTGTAAAAATCATGACGCTGCACCCCACGGTTTACGTTCTAGGGGGCGCCAAAGATGACCCAAAAATCCACATTCTTAAAAGTCATTTTGGCCACTGCAGGAGTACAGAGTACTGCAGTTCTAGGGGGCGCCAAAGATGACCCAAAAATCCACATTCTTAAAAGTCTTTTTGGCCACTGCAGGAGTACAGAGTACTGCAGGATACACACACATACACACACACACACACACACACACACACACACACACACACACACACACACACACACACACTCAGAGTCTGTTTTTTAGCACCTGCAAAAACATGCTGTTTACATATTTGACAAGAATGCAGAGGCTTCCTTTTGCCCCTGAAAAAAATCAGATTTCAAACACAACTTGACTGTTCATTTCTCCAAAAGACAACCATGAAGCTCCATCCAAACCTGAAGCAGATAGTTGGTGCATGTGTACAGTAACCTGAGGAGAGTGAGGTGACTATTTCTGAGGAGAACATGAGCAGTGAAGATTCACCTTGGAGCTAGAACAGGGACGTGCACATGATTATACAGGGGCAGGGGCTCAAGTTTTTTCCAGTCATTTATACAATATGGAAATTAATGTGAAATTAAACCACAAATATGTGTGATGAACTGTTTTTAAAACTTAAACTTCAAATAAAAATTGTAAACTTCAAAACATATGCACATTTTTAACAAAGAACATAGTAATTTACCTCTATTTACATCAAAATGCAGGCAATGGCCCAGGCGTTCTTTGTAAAATTATTTACAAAACACTGTATAGTCTCACAAATGTCACTTTTTATTTATGCCACTACAAAAAAACATGATGTAAATGATGCATGATGTAAAACATGATGTAAAAAACTTGTGTAGATCCTCCTCTATGTCAGTCCATGTGTAATTTTTCCATAATTCTTTGTTTTTTGCAGCATTTTTGTTAGTGTAACTGCAGATTGTGCTGACTGTCTATGGCAAAAAAAAAAAAACTGAAAATGCCTCAACATGAACCCCTGGTGGTCTCTGAGGGTGAAACCTGCTAACTGCTGCAGCTCTGTCAGCTTCTGTCTCCCATGCAGAGCTCGGAGCGCATGTGTGGCTCTGCACCCTTAGCAGCGTTGCTAACTCCTCAGTAAGGAAAGCCTGCTTCATGTCAGAGTCTCTAAACTCCAGAAGAAGTCGATAAAAGTCCCTTTCTTTCTAAAAAAAGTCGTTAGGGGGTCTGAAAAGTAATTGAATCTAACAACAAAGTCGCTAGGTTTGCAACTACGTGTCCCAGACTGCATCCCTGCTGAGAGTCCCTCCCTCCCTTCTCATGTTGCAGGAAGAACGTAAGCGCCCGCCCCTTGTCAATCAGTCACCATATAATTTTGGATTGGTTGTTGTGGTGAAGTTTTCCACCAATAGGAGAGATGTTGTGGTGTGTTTTTTTTTTCTTTTGGCAAGCCTTTTCCGCCTGTATGACCTGTCACTAATGTGTGCATGCAATGTTTTCCTGTCTCATACAGCACGATCGAGCGCCGAACGTGATCAAAATAAGCAGAAAAAAAGTATCGCGGACATAATTTATCATAACTCTGGTTTTATTTGGCCTATCAACACAATTTAAAAACTGGTATATAGGTTGAGGTCCTCACTTTTGAGATAAGTTGAAACGGAGAGTTAACGAGGCTCCGTCTTGCAGCTACATCCGGTTAAATATGTCATGTGACTTGAACGCTGGGGAGCGTCAATCGAATCGAATCAAACCTAACTCTCAGATGAATCTTCAAAATTCACCTCAGAAATATGCTTATTATTCTTCTCAGAGTACTGCAGGATACACACACACACACACACACACACAGACACACACACGCACACACACACACACACACACACACACACTCAGAGTCTGTTTTTTAGCACCTGCAAAAACATGCTATTTACATATTTGACAAGAATGCGGAGGCTTCCTTTTGCCCCTGAAAAAAATCAGATTTCAAACACAACTTGACTGGTCATTTCTCCAAAAGACAACCATGAAGCTCCATCCAAACCTGAAGCAGGCAGTTGGTGCATGTGTACAGTAACCTGAGGGGAGTGAGGTGACTGCTTCTGAGGAGAACATGAGCACTGAAGATTCACCTTGGAGCTAGAACAGGGACGTGCACATGATTATACAGGGGCAGGGGCTCAAGTTTTTCCAGTTGTTTATACAATATGGAAATTAATGTGAAATTAAAAAACAAAGTATTAATAGAAAGGTAATGACTGTCCTGTGTAGGTGACAGTGATATCCAATAGGCTAGGCACTCACGAGGCTGGCTGTGGCAAGTGTAAGTGAAAGCAACACGCACTGGCAGGAAGAACAGCAAACGCCGATGAAGGAAAAGGGTCTTTGCAGTGATGGGCGTTACCAGAGAGGGCGATGGCCAGAGGACACAAATGGGACGGGGAGGCAGCGCGTTGGGGGGGGGACGTGACACAGCTCGGGCCCGCCAGTGCCCCAACGGGGTCCTAGTGTTATTATTAGGGCCCGAGCGTAGCTGCTAAGCAGCTGCGAGAGCCCTATTATTCCTGATGGATTCTTCTTTAGGGCCCGAGCGTAGCTGCTAAGCAGCTGCGAGAGCCCTCTTGTTCCTGCATGTTTCCTTCTTTCGTTATTATTTTTCCTCCGCTTTAAACTGGAAAATGGCCCACTTCCCACTGGCGAAAACTCAGGAAATTTGGCAGGACGACCGGGCCTGGTGAAAAATTCGATATTCTGAAGTCGCCCAAACAATAAAATGCAAAATGGCTCCATAGCGCCCCCTAAGGTGAAAATTCACATGACGGCTGTACGCTTTGTCATATTGACACAAAAATTGACACACACATATATCTCAATAAGATCTACAAAAAAGTCAGTGCGGGCGTATCTGTCAAATGTACGGTTAATGGGTTATTTTGCATTTTTTGCAGATCTGCACACATTGGAATTTCGCTAACTCCTCCGAAGGCTTTCGTTCGACCGGCACCACATTTGCGCAGGCCAATCTACCCCCCATGGCCATTAAAAGTTGTACAAATCATGACGCTGCACCCCACGGTTTACGTTCTAGGGGGCGCCAAAGATAACCCAAAATCCACATTCTTAAAAGTCTTATAACTTTTTATTTTTGTCCTCACTGGCCTCCAAGTTTTCTAGGATGATGCAATGTCCAGCCATCAACACATTTGTGAAGGAATTTTTACTCCCCAAAAGAGCGCCCCCCCATGGTAGGAGAAAAAAGTCAATTTTTTCTTGTCCCCTTACATAAAAATACACATTGTTGAGTGTCACGCCTGAACGCTTTGTCATATTGACACAAAAATTGACAATCATGTGTATCTCAATTAGATCTACGAAAAAGTCAAAGAGCGCGTATCTGTATAATGTACGGTTAAAGGGCTATTTTGCATTTTTTGCCGATTCGCACACATTGGAATGTGGCTATCTCCTCCTAAGGCTTTCGTCCCACCGATACCAAATTTGCTCAGGGCAATCTACACCCCATGCCCATTCAAAGTTGTAAAAATCATGACGCTGCACCCCACGGTTTACGTTCTAGGGGGCGCCAAAGATGACCCAAAAATCCACATTCTTAAAAGTCATTTTGGCCACTGCAGGAGTACAGAGTACTGCAGTTCTAGGGGGCGCCAAAGATGACCCAAAAATCCACATTCTTAAAAGTCTTTTTGGCCACTGCAGGAGTACAGAGTACTGCAGGATACACACACATATACACACACGCCAACATACACACACACACACACACACACACACACACACACACACACACACACACACACACACACACACACACTCAGAGTCTGTTTTTTAGCACCTGCAAAAACATGCTGTTTACATATTTGACAAGAATGCAGAGGCTTCCTTTTGCCCCTGAAAAAAATCAAATTTCAAACACAACTTGACTGTTCATTTCTCCAAAAGACAACCATGAAGCTCCATTTCAAACCTGAAGCAGATAGTTGGTGCATGTGTACAGTAACCTGAGGGGAGTGAGGTGACTATTTCTGAGGAGAACATGAGCAGTGAAGATTCACCTTGGAGCTAGAACAGGGACGTGCACATGATTATACAGGGGCAGGGGCTCAAGTTTTTTCCAGTCATTTATACAATATGGAAATTAATGTGAAATTAAACCACAAATATGTGTGATGAACTGTTTTTAAAACTTAAACTTCAAATAAAAATTGTAAACTTCAAAACATATGCAAATTTTTAACAAAGAACATAGTAATTTACCTCTATTTACATCAAAATGCAGGCAATGGCCCAGGCGTTCTTTGTAAAATTATTTACAAAACACTGTATAGTCTCACAAATGTCACTTTTTATTTATGCCACTACAAAAAAACATGATGTAAATGATGCATGATGTAAAACATGATGTAAAAAACTTGTGTAGATCCTCCTCTATGTCAGTCCATGTGTAATTTTTCCATAATTCTTTGTTTTTTGCAGCATTTTTGTTAGTGTAACTGCAGATTGTGCTGACAGTGTCTATGGCACAAAAAAAAAAAAAATTAAAATGCCTCAACATGAACCCCTGGTGGTCTCTGAGGGTGAAACCTGCTAACTGCTGCAGCTCTGTCAGCTTCAGTCTCCCATGCAGAGCTCTGAGCGCATGTGTGGCTCTGCACCCTTAGCAGCGTTGCTAACTCCTCAGTAAGGAAAGCCTGCTTCATGTCAGAGTCTCTAAACTCCAGAAGAAGTCGATAAAAGTCCCTTTCTTTCAAAAAAAAAGTCGTTAGGGGGTCTGAAAAGTCATTGAATCTAACAACAAAGTCGCTAGGTTTGCAACTACGTGTCCCAGACTGCATCCCTGCTGAGAGTCCCTCCCTCCCTTCTCATGTTGCAGGAAGAACGTAAGCGCCCGCCCCTTGTCAATCAGTCACCATATAATTTTGGATTGGTTGTTGTGGTGAAGTTTTCCACCAATAGGAGAGATGTTGTGGTGTGTTTTTTTTTTCTTTTGGCAAGCCTTTTCCGCCTGTAAGACCTGTCGCTAATGTCTGCATGCTATGTTTTCCTGTCTCATACAGCGCGATCGAGCGCCGAACGTGATCAAAATAAGCAGAAAAAAAGTATCGCGGACATAATTTATCATAACTCTGGTTTTATTTGGCCTATCAACACAATTTAAAAACTGGTATATAGGTTGAGGTCCTCACTTTTGAGATAAGTTGAAACGGAGAGTCAACAAGGCTCCGTCTTGCAGCTACATCCGGTTAAATATGTCATGTGACTTGAACGCACACACAGACACACACACACGCACACACACACACACACACACACACACACTCAGAGTCTGGTTTTTAGCACCTGCAAAAACATGCTATTTACATATTTGACAAGAATGCAGAGGCTCCTTTTGCCCCTGAAAAAAATCAAATTTCAAACACAACTTGACTGGTCATTTCTCCAAAAGACAACCATGAAGCTCCATCCAAACCTGAAGCAGGCAGTTGGTGCATGTGTACAGTAACCTGAGGGGAGTGAGGGGAGTGCTTCTGAGGAGAACATGAGCAGTGAAGATTCACCTTGGAGCTAGAACAGAGACATGCACATGATTATACAGGGGCAGGGGCTCAAGTTTTTTCCAGTCGTTTATACAATATGGAAATTAATGTGAAATTAAAACACAAAGTATTAATAGAAAGGTAATGACTGTCCTGTGTAGGTGACAGTGATATCCAATAGGCTAGGCACTCACGAGGCTGGCTGTGGCAAGTGTAAGTGAAAGCAACACGCACTGGCAGGAAGAACAGCAAACGCCGATGAAGGAAAAGGGTCTTTGCAGTGATGGGCGTTACCAGAGAGGGCGATGGCCAGAGGACACAAATGGGACGGGGAGGCAGCACGTTGGGGGGGGGACGCGACACGGCTCGGGCCCGCCAGTGCCCCAACGGGGTCCTAGTTATTATTTTTCCTCCCCTTTGAACTGGAAAATGGCCCACTTCCCACTGGCGAAAACTCATGAAATTTGGCAGGACGACCGGGCCTGGTGAAAAATTCGATATTCTGAAGTCGCCCAAACAATAAAATGCAAAATGGCTCCATAGCGCCCCCTAAGGTGGAAATTCACACTATTGACTGTCACGCCTGTACGCTTTGTCATATTGACACAAAAATTGACACACATATGTATCTCAATAAGATCTACAAAAAAGTCAGTGCGGCCGTATCTGTCAAAATTACGGTTAAAGGGTTATTTCGCATTTTTTGCCGATCCGCACACATTGGAATTTCGCTAACTCCTCCGAAGGCTTTCGTTCCACCGGCACCACATTTGCTCAGGCCAATCTACACGCCGTGGCCATTAAAAGTTATTCAAATCATGACGCTGCACCCCACGGTTTACGTTCTAGGGGGCGCCAAAGATAACCCAAAAATCCACATTTTTAAAAGTCTTATAACTTTTTATTTTTGTCCTCACTGGCCTCCAAGTTTTCTAGGATGATGCAATGTCCAGCCATCAACACATTTGTGAAGGAATTTTTACTCCCCAAAAGAGCGCCCCCCCATGGCAGGAGAAAAAGTCAAGTTTTTCCAGCCCATCGCTTAATGGCTCAAACGCATTGCTCTCCCGCTAAAACCAAAAGGAGGAGCAACTTGCCATTTGGATATGTCCTAGCTGTGTTTGTGCCCTCACTCATGGTCCAGAGTTTTTTCAAATAGGACATGTAGTTTGTCTGCAGCGAGCGTTTTGGTAGAAACTGTGCCTCCCATTCATTATAATGGGAAATGACCAAAGACAGGTGCGCACACCATCTTTGGACCTTGACTTTGACGTCACAGTTTGAGATACAAATGTTATTTGACCTCTGACCTTTGGTGGACACCCTAACCTTTCAACCCGCGAAAACGGCGTTTCAATAGCTCTTACGGCTTTCCTACAAATACACTTTGTTCAGCTACTCCTACTGTCCTTCAAGCTCTGCTTCTCAGATCATCAAAGAGTGTGCACGTGTGTAATGAGCGCATATTGAATGTTAATTATGTTAAATATGTTAATTATTAGAAGAAAAAACAACAACAGTCCTTTTGGACAAAATTTCTTTTTATTACAGAATTAGAATAATGGAAGCATAGTCCAAGGAAACCATTCAAGTGATGTCATACCTCATGATTTATTGAGATGTTGGCTAGTCTGGGCATTTCTTCATTCATCAGGTTTCCTGCATGCATACTAACAGAGCACATCAGTAGCAGTGAGTGATAAGTATGAGTGTGTCATTGTGTAAGAAAGAAAGTGGTTTACTTACACATCCATAGAAAATAGGTGGTTGAGCACAGCACGCAAACAAAGCTTTGCCACAACGGTTGAACTTCCCAAGTAGCTGATACCAAGGTCACACAATCAGGGTGAGCAAAGGTCAAACCAGGCCAGGCACTCACGAGGCTGGCTGTGGCAAGTGTAAGTGAAAGCAACACGCAATGGCAGGAAGAACAGCAAACACCAATGAAGGAAAAGGGTCTTTGCAGTGATGGGCGTCACCAGAGAGGGCGATGGCCAGAGGGCACGAATGGGACGGGGAGGCGGTCGCGCTGGGGGCGGCGCGACGCGGCTCGGGCCCGCCAGTGCCCCAACGGGGCCCTAGTTAGGGCCCGAGCGTAGCTGCTAAGCAGCTGCGAGAGCCCTCTTGTTCCTGTAGTTTCCTTCTTTTGTTATTATTATTTTTCCTCCCCTTTGAACTGGAAAATGGCCCACTTCCCACTGGCGAAAACTCATGAAATTTGGCAGGAAGACCGGGCCTGGTGAAAAATTTGATATTCCGAAGTCGCCCAAACAAGAAAATGCAAAATGGCTCCATAGCGCCCCCTAAGGTGAAAATTCACACTATTCACTGTCACGCCTGTACGCTTTGTCAAAATGACACAAAAATTGACACACACATGTATCTCAATAAGATCTACAAAAAAGTCAGTGCGGGCGTATCTGTCAAATGTACGGTTAAAGGGTTATTTCGCATTTTTTGCCGATCCGCACACATTGGAATTTCGCTAACTCCTCCGAAGGCTTTCGTTCCACCGGCACCACATTTGCTCAGGCCAATCTACACCCCATGGCCATTAAAAGTTATTCAAATCATGACGCTGCACCCCACGGTTTAGGTTCTAGGGGGCGCCAAAGATAACCCTAAGATCCACATATTTAAAAGTCTTATAACTTTTTATTTTTGTCCTCACTGGCCTCCAAGTTTTCTAGGATGATGCAATGTCCAGCCATCAACACATTTGTGAAGGAATTTTTACTCCCCAAAAGAGCGCCCCCCCATGGCAGGAGAAAAAAGTCCATTTTTTCTTGTCCCCTAAGGTGAAAATACACATTGTTGAGTGTCATGCCTATACGCTTTGTCAAAATGACACAAAAATTGACACACACATGTAACTCAATAAGATCTACAAAAAAGTCCAGCGCGTGTATCTGTCAAATGTACAGTTAAAGGGTTATTCCGCATTTTTTGCCGATCCGCACACATTGGAATTTCGCTAACTCCTCCGAAGGCTTTCGTTCCACCGGCACCACATTTGCTCAGGCCAATCTACACCCCATGGCCATTAAAAGTTATTCAAATCATGATGCTGCACCCCATGGTTTAGGTTCTAGGGGGCGCCAAAAATAACCCAAAAATCCACATTCTTAAATGTTTTATAACTTTTTATTTTTGTCCTCACTGGCCTCCAAGTTTTCTAGGATGATGCAATGTCCAGCCATCAACACATTTGTGAAGGAATTTTTACTCCCCAAAAGAGCGCCCCCCCATGGTAGGAGAAAAAAGTCCATTTTTTTTTGTCCCCTTACATAAAAATACACATTGTTGAGTGTCACGCCTGAACGCTTTGTCATATTGACACAAAAATTGACAATCATGTGTATCTCAATTAGATCTACGAAAAAGTCAAAGAGCGCGTATCTGTATAATGTACGGTTAAAGGGCTATTTTGCATTTTTTGCCGATTCGCACACACTGGAATGTGGCTATCTCCTCCTAAGGCTTTCGTCCCACCGATACCAAATTTGCTCAGGGCAATCTACACCCCATGCCCATTCAAAGTTGTAAAAATCATGACGCTGCACCCCACGGTTTACGTTCTAGGGGGCGCCAAAGATGACCCAAAAATCCACATTCTTAAAAGTCATTTTGGCCACTGCAGGAGTACAGAGTACTGCAGTTCTAGGGGGCGCCAAAGATGACCCAAAAATCCACATTCTTAAAAGTCTTTTTGGCCACTGCAGGAGTACAGAGTACTGCAGGATACACACACATATACACACACGCCAACACACACACACACACACACAGACACACACACACACTCAGAGTCTGTTTTTTAGCACCTGCAAAAACATGCTGTTTACATATTTGACAAGAATGCAGAGGCTTCCTTTTGCCCCTGAAAAAAATCAAATTTCAAACACAACTTGACTGTTCATTTCTCCAAAAGACAACCATGAAGCTCCATTTCAAACCTGAAGCAGATAGTTGGTGCATGTGTACAGTAACCTGAGGGGAGTGAGGTGACTATTTCTGAGGAGAACATGAGCAGTGAAGATTCACCTTGGAGCTAGAACAGGGACGTGCACATGATTATACAGGGGCAGGGGCTCAAGTTTTTTCCAGTCATTTATACAATATGGAAATTAATGTGAAATTAAACCACAAATATGTGTGATGAACTGTTTTTAAAACTTAAACTTCAAATAAAAATTGTAAACTTCAAAACATATGCAAATTTTTAACAAAGAACATAGTAATTTACCTCTATTTACATCAAAATGCAGGCAATGGCCCAGGCGTTCTTTGTAAAATTATTTACAAAACACTGTATAGTCTCACAAATGTCACTTTTTATTTATGCCACTACAAAAAAACATGATGTAAATGATGCATGATGTAAAACATGATGTAAAAAACTTGTGTAGATCCTCCTCTATGTCAGTCCATGTGTAATTTTTCCATAATTCTTTGTTTTTTGCAGCATTTTTGTTAGTGTAACTGCAGATTGTGCTGACAGTGTCTATGGCACAAAAAAAAAAAAAAATTAAAATGCCTCAACATGAACCCCTGGTGGTCTCTGAGGGTGAAACCTGCTAACTGCTGCAGCTCTGTCAGCTTCAGTCTCCCATGCAGAGCTCTGAGTGCATGTGTGGCTCTGCACCCTTAGCAGCGTTGCTAACTCCTCAGTAAGGAAAGCCTGCTTCATGTCAGAGTCTCTAAACTCCAGAAGAAGTCGATAAAAGTCCCTTTCTTTCTAAAAAAAAGTTGTTAGGGGGTCTGAAAAGTCATTGAATCTAACAACAAAGTCGCTAGGTTTGCAACTACGTGTCCCAGACTGCATCCCTGCTGAGAGTCCCTCCCTCCCTTCTCATGTTGCAGGAAGAACGTAAGCGCCCGCCCTTTGTCAATCAGTCACCATATAATTTTGGATTGGTTGTTGTGGTGAAGTTTTCCACCAATAGGAGAGATGTTGTGGTGTGTTTTTTTTTTCTTTTGGCAAGCCTTTTCCGCCTGTAAGACCTGTCGCTAATGTCTGCATGCTATGTTTTCCTGTCTCATACAGCGCGATCGAGCGCCGAACGTGATCAAAATAAGCAGAAAAAAAGTATCGCGGACATAATTTATCATAACTCTGGTTTTATTTGGCCTATCAACACAATTTAAAAACTGGTATATAGGTTGAGGTCCTCACTTTTGAGATAAGTTGAAACAGAGAGTCAACGAGGCTCCGTCTTGCAGCTACATCCGGTTAAATATGTCATGTGACTTGAACGCACACACAAACACACAGACACACACACACGCACACACACACACACACACACACACACACACACACTCAGAGTCTGGTTTTTAGCACCTGCAAAAACATGCTATTTACATATTTGACAAGAATGCAGAGGCTCCTTTTGCCCCTAAAAAAAATCAAATTTCAAACACAACTTGACTGGTCATTTCTCCAAAAGACAACCATGAAGCTCCATCCAAACCTGAAGCAGGCAGTTGGTGCATGTGTACAGTAACCTGAGGGGAGTGAGGTGACTGCTTCTGAGGAGAACATGAGCAGTGAAGATTCACCTTGGAGCTAGAACAGAGACATGCACATGATTATACAGGGGCAGGGGCTCAAGTTTTTTCCAGTCGTTTATACAATATGGAAATTAATGTGAAATTAAAACACAAAGTATTAATAGAAAGGTAATGACTGTCCTGTGTAGGTGACAGTGATATCCAATAGGCTAGGCACTCACGAGGCTGGCTGTGGCAAGTGTAAGTGAAAGCAACACGCACTGGCAGGAAGAACAGCAAACGCCGATGAAGGAAAAGGGTCTTTGCAGTGATGGGCGTTACCAGAGAGGACGATGGCCAGAGGACACAAATGGGACGGGGAGGCAGCACGTTGGGGGGGGACGCGACACGGCTCGGGCCCGCCAGTGCCCCAACGGGGTCCTAGTTAGGGCCCGAGCGTAGCTGCTAAGCAGCTGCGAGAGCCCTCTTGTTCCTGTAGTTTCCTTCTTTTGTTATTATTATTTTTCCTCCCCTTTGAACTGGAAAATGGCCCACTTCCCACTGGCGAAAACTCATGAAATTTGGCAGGACGACCGGGCCTGGTGAAAAATTTGATATTCCGAAGTCGCCCAAACAAGAAAATGCAAAATGGCTCCATAGCGCCCCCTAAGGTGAAAATTCACACTATTCACTGTCACGCCGGTACGCTTTGTCAAAATGACACAAAAATTGACACACACATGTATCTCAATAAGATCTACAAAAAAGTCAGTGCGGGCGTATCTGTCAAATGTACGGTTAAAGGGTTATTTCGCATTTTTTGCCGATCCGCACACATTGGAATTTCGCTAACTCCTCCGAAGGCTTTCGTTCCACCGGCACCACATTTGCTCAGGCCAATCTACACCCCATGGCCATTAAAAGTTATTCAAATCATGACGCTGCACCCCATGGTTTAGGTTCTAGGGGGCGCCAAAGATAACCCTAAGATCCACATATTTAAAAGTCTTATAACTTTTTATTTTTGCCCTCACTGGCCTCCAAGTTTTCTAGGATGATGCAATGTCCAGCCATCAACACATTTGTGAAGGAATTTTTACTCCCCAAAAGAGCGCCCCCCATGGCAGGAGAAAAAAGTCCATTTTTTCTTGTCCCCTAAGGTGAAAATACACATTGTTGAGTGTCACGCCTATACGCTTTGTCAAAATGACACAAAAATTGACACACACATGTAACTCAATAAGATCTACGAAAAAGTCAATGCGTGCGTATCTGTCAAATGTACGGTTAAAGGGTTATTCCGCATTTTTTGCCGATCCGCACACATTGGAATTTCGCTAACTCCACCGAAGGCTTTCTGTCCACCGGCACCACATTTGCTCAGGCCAATCTACACCCCATGGCCATTAAAAGTTAATCAAATCATGACGCTGCACCCCACGGTTTAGGTTCTAGGGGGCGCCAAAGACAACCCTAAAATCCACATATTTAAAAGTCTTATAACTTTTTATTTTTGTCCTCACTGGCCTCCAAGTTTTCTAGGATGATGCAATGTCCAGCCATCAACACATTTGTGAAGGAATTTTTACTCCCCAAAAGAGCGCCCATGGCAGGAGAAAAAAGTCCATTTTTTCTTGTCCCCTAAGGTGAAAATACATATTGTTGAGATTCACGCCTATACGCTTTGTCATATTGACACAAAATTTGACAATCATGTGTATCTCAATTAGATCTACGAAAAAGTCAAAGAGCGCGCATCTGTATAATGTACGGTTAAAGGGCTATTTTGCATTTTTTGCCGATTCGCACACATTGGAATGTGGCTATCTCCTCCTAAGGCTTTCGTCCCACCGATACCAAATTTGCTCAGGGCAATCTACACCCCATGCCCATTCAAAGTTGTAAAAATCATGACGCTGCACCCCACGGTTTACGTTCTAGGGGGCGCCAAAGATGACCCAAAAATCCACATTCTTAAAAGTCATTTTGGCCACTGCAGGAGTACAGAGTACTGCAGTTCTAGGGGGCGCCAAAGATGACCCAAAAATCCACATTCTTAAAAGTCTTTTTGGCCACTGCAGGAGTACAGAGTACTGCAGGATACACACACATATACACACACGCCAACATACACACACACACACACACACACACACAGACACACACACACACTCAGAGTCTGTTTTTTAGCACCTGCAAAAACATGCTGTTTACATATTTGACAAGAATGCAGAGGCTTCCTTTTGCCCCTGAAAAAAATCAAATTTCAAACACAACTTGACTGTTCATTTCTCCAAAAGACAACCATGAAGCTCCATTTCAAACCTGAAGCAGATAGTTGGTGCATGTGTACAGTAACCTGAGGGGAGTGAGGTGACTATTTCTGAGGAGAACATGAGCAGTGAAGATTCACCTTGGAGCTAGAACAGAGACATGCACATGATTATACAGGGGCAGGGGCTCAAGTTTTTTCCAGTCGTTTATACAATATGGAAATTAATGTGAAATTAAAACACAAAGTATTAATAGAAAGGTAATGACTGTCCTGTGTAGGTGACAGTGATATCCAATAGGCTAGGCACTCACGAGGCTGGCTGTGGCAAGTGTAAGTGAAAGCAACACGCACTGGCAGGAAGAACAGCAAACGCCGATGAAGGAAAAGGGTCTTTGCAGTGATGGGCGTTACCAGAGAGGGCGATGGCCAGAGGACACAAATGGGACGGGAAGGCAGCACGTTGGGGGGGGGGGGACGCGACACGGCTCGGGCCCGCCAGTGCCCCAACGGGGTCCTAGTTAGGGCCCGAGCGTAGCTGCTAAGCAGCTGCGAGAGCCCTCTTGTTCCTGCATGTTTCCTTCTTTTGTTATTAGGGCCCGAGCCAGCTGCAGAGCAGCCGGGCGTAGGCCCTATTATTCCCCAAGTGGTTTTTCTTTGTTTCTTTCTTTCTTTTTTCTTTTTCCTCCCCTTTGAACTGGAAAATGGCCCACTTCCCACTGGCGAAAACTCATGAAATTTGGCAGGACGACCGGGCCTGGTAAAAAATTTGATATTCCGAAGTCGCCCAAACAAGAAAATGCAAAATGGCTCCATAGCGCCCCCTAAGGTGAAAATTCACACTATTGACTGTCACGCCTGTACGCTTTGTCAAAATGACACAAAAATTGACACACACATGTATCTCAATAAGATCTACAAAAAAGTCAGTGCGGGCGTATCTGTCAAATGTACGGTTACAGGGTTATTTCGCATTTTTTGCCGATCCGCACACATTGGAATTTCGCTAACTCCTCCGAAGGCTTTCGTTCCACCGGCACCACATTTGCTCAGGCCAATCTACACCCCATGGCCATTAAAAGTTATTCAAATCATGACGCTGCACCCCACGGTTTAGGTTCTAGGGGGCGCCAAAGATAACCCTAAAATCCACATATTTAAAAGTCTTATAACTTTTTATTTTTTCCCTCACTGGCCTCCAAGTTTTCTAGGATGATGCAATGTCCAGCCATCAACACATTTGTGAAGGAATTTTTACTCCCCAAAAGAGCGCCCCCCCATGGCAGGAGAAAAAAGTCCATTTTTTCTTGTCCCCTAAGGTGAAAATTCACACTATTGACTGTCACGCCTGTACGCTTTGTCAAAATGACACAAAATTTGACACACACATGTATCTCAATAAGATCTACAAAAAAGTCCATGCGCGCGTATCTGTCTAATGTACGGTTAAAGGGTTATTTCGCATTTTTTGCCGATCCGCACACATTGGAATTTCGCTAACTCCTCCGAAGGCTTTCGTTCCACCGGCACCACATTTGCTCAGGCCAATCTACACCCCATGGCCATTAAAAGTTATTCAAATCATGACGCTGCACCCCACGGTTTACGTTCTAGGGGGCGCCAAAGATAACCCAAAAATCCACATTTTTAAAAGTCTTATAACTTTTTATTTTTGTCCTCACTGGCCTCCAAGTTTTCTAGGATGATGCAATGTCCAGCCATCAACACATTTGTGAAGGAATTTTTACTCCCCAAAAGAGCGCCCCCCCATGGCAGGAGAAAAAAGTCCATTTTTTCTTGTCCCCTAAGGTCAAAATTCACATTGTTGAGTGTGACACCTGTACGCTTTGTCATATTGACACAAAATTTGACAATCACGTGCCTTGCCTGGTATCATTTTTTTCAAATTCACACACAAAACATAAAATCCATGTGGAAAAAAGTAACATTTTTACTGTGAAAACCACAAATATGTGTGATGAACTGTTTTTAAAACTTAAACTTCAAATAAAAATTGTAAACTTCAAAACATATGCAAATTTTTAACAAAGAACATAGTGATTTACCTCTATTTACATCAAAATGCAGGCAATGGCCCAGGCGTTCTTTGTAAAATTATTTACAAAACACTGTATAGTCTCACAAATGTCACTTTTTATTTATGCCACTACAAAAAAACATGATGTAAATGATGCATGATGTAAAACATGATGTAAAAAACTTGTGTAGATCCTCCTCTATGTCAGTCCATGTGTAATTTTTCCATAATTCTTTGTTTTTTGCAGCATTTTTGTTAGTGTAACTGCAGATTGTGCTGACAGTGTCTATGGCACAAAAAAAAAAAAAAAAATTTAAATGCCTCAACATGAAACCCTGGTGGTCTCTGAGGGTGAAACCTGCTAACTGCTGCAGCTCTGTCAGCTTCAGTCTCCCATGCAGAGCTCGGAGCGCATGTGTGGCTCTGCACCCTTAGCAGCGTTGCTAACTCCTCAGTAAGGAAAGCCTGCTTCATGTCAGAGTCTCTAAACTCCAGAAGAAGTCGATAAAAGTCACTTTCTTTCTAAAAAAAAGTCGTTAGGGGGTCTGAAAAGTCATTGAATCTAACAACAAAGTCGCTAGGTTTGCAACTACGTGTCCCAGACTGCATCCCTGCTGAGAGTCCCTCCCTCGCTTCTCATGTTGCAGGAAGAACGTAAGCGCCCGCCCCTTGTCAATCAGTCACCATATAATTTTGGATTGGTTGTTGTGGTGAAGTTTTCCACCAATAGGAGAGATGTTGTGGTGTGTTTTTTTTTTCTTTTGGCAAGCCTTTTCCGCCTGTAAGACCTGTCGCTAATGTCTGCATGCTATGTTTTCCTGTCTCATACAGCGCGATCGAGCGCCGAACGTGATCAAAATAAGCAGAAAAAAAGTATCGCGGACATAATTTATCATAACTCTGGTTTTATTTGGCCTATCAACACAATTTAAAAACTGGTATATAGGTTGAGGTCCTCACTTTTGAGATAAGTTGAAACGGAGAGTCAACGAGGCTCCGTCTTGCAGCTACATCCGGTTAAATATGTCATGTGACTTGAACGCACACACAGACACACACACACGCACACACACACACACACACACACACACACACTCAGAGTCTGGTTTTTAGCACCTGCAAAAACATGCTATTAACATATTTGACAAGAATGCAGAGGCTCCTTTTGCCCCTGAAAAAAATCAAATTTCAAACACAACTTGACTGGTCATTTCTCCAAAAGACAACCATGAAGCTCCATCCAAACCTGAAGCAGGCAGTTGGTGCATGTGTACAGTAACCTGAGGGGAGTGAGGTGAGTGCTTCTGAGGAGAACATGAGCAGTGAAGATTCACCTTGGAGCTAGAACAGAGACATGCACATGATTATACAGGGGCAGGGGCTCAAGTTTTTTCCAGTCGTTTATACAATATGGAAATTAATGTGAAATTAAAACACAAAGTATTAATAGAAAGGTAATGACTGTCCTGTGTAGGGGACAGTGATATCCAATAGGCTAGGCACTCACGAGGCTGGCTGTGGCAAGTGTAAGTGAAAGCAACACGCACTGGCAGGAAGAACAGCAAACGCCGATGAAGGAAAAGGGTCTTTGCAGTGATGGGCGTTACCAGAGAGGGCGATGGCCAGAGGACACAAATGGGACGGGGAGGCAGCACGTTGGGGGGGGGGGGGACACGACACGGCTCGGGCCCGCCAGTGCCCCAACGGGGTCCTAGTTATTATTTTTCCTCCCCTTTGAACTGGAAAATGGCCCACTTCCCACTGGCGAAAACTCATGAAATTTGGCAGGACGACCGGGCCTGGTGAAAAATTTGATATTCTGAAGTCGCCCAAACAATACAATGCAAAATGGCTCCATAGCGCCCCCTAAGGTGAAAAATTCACCTGACGCCTGTACGCTTTGTCAAAATGACACAAAAATTGACACACACATGTATCTCAATAAGATCTACAAAAAAGTCAGTGCGGGCGTATCTGTCAAATGTACGGTTAAAGGGTTATTGCGCATTTTTTGCCGATCCGCACACATTGGAATTTCGCTAACTCCTCCGAAGGCTTTCGTTCCACCGGCACCACATTTGCTCAGGCCAATCTACACCCCATGGCCATTAAAAGTTATTCAAATCATGACGCTGCACCCCACGGTTTAGGTTCTAGGGGGCGCCAAAGATAACCCTAAAATCCACATATTTAAAAGTCTTATAACTTTTTATTTTTGCCCTCACTGGCCTCCAAGTTTTCTAGGATGATGCAATGTCCAGCCATCAACACATTTGTGAAGGAATTTTTAATCCCCAAAAGAGCGCCCCCCCATGGCAGGAGAAAAAAGTCCATTTTTTCTTGTCCCCTAAGGTGAAAATACACATTGTTGAGTGTCACGCCTGTACGCTTTGTCATATTGACACAAAATTTGACACACACATGTATCTCAATAAGATCTACGAAAAAGTCAATGCGCGCATATCTGTCAAATGTACGGTTAAAGGGTTATTCCGCATTTTTTGCTGATCCGCACACATTGGAATTTCGCTAACTCCTCCTAAGGCTGGCGTTCCACCGGCACCACATTTGCTCAGGCCAATCTACACCCCATGGCCATTAAAAGTTATTCAAATCATGACGCTGCACCCCACGGTTTAGGTTCTAGGGGGCGCCAAAGATAACCCTAAAATCCACATATTTAAAAGTCTTATAACTTTTTATTTTTGTCCTCACTGGCCTCCAAGTTTTCTAGGATGATGCAATGTCCAGCCATCAACACATTTGTGAAGGAATTTTTACTCCCCAAAAGAGCGCCCCCCCATGGCAGGAGAAAAAAGTCCATTTTTTCTTGTCCCATAAGGTGAAAAAACACATTGTTGACTGTCATACCTGTACGCTTTGTCATATTGACACAAAATTTGACAATCACATGTATCTGAATAAGATCTACGAAAAAGTCAATGCGCGCGTATCTGTAAAATGTACGGTTAAAGGGCTATTTTGCATTTTTTGCCGATTCGCACACATTGGAATTTGGCTAACTCCTCCTAAGGCTTTCATCCCACTGACACCAAATTTGCTCAGGCCAATCTACACCCCATGGCCATTAAAAGTTGTAAAAATCATGACGCTGCACCCCACGGTTTACGTTCTAGGGGGCGCCAAAGATGACCCAAATATCCACATTCTTAAAAGAATCCACACACCCCCCATCCCCCATCCCCCATGGCAGGAGAAACAGTCAAGTTTTTCCTGCCCGTCGCTCAATGGCTCAATCGCATCACTCTCCCGGCAACACCGTAACGAGGAGCAACTTGCCGTTTGGATATATCCTAGCTGTGTTTGTGCCCTCACTCATGGTCCAGACTTTTTTCAAATAGGACATGTAGTTTGTCTGCAGCGAGTGTTTTGGTAGAAACTGCGCCTCCCATTCATTATAATGGGAAATGACCACAGACAAGTGCGCACACCATCTTTGGACCTTGAGTGTGACGCGATCGGGAGGGGGAGGCGGTCGCGCTAGGGGCGGCGCAACGCGGCTCGGGCCCGACAGTGCCCCACCGGGGCCCTAGTTAGGGCCCGAGCGTAGCTGCTAAGCAGCTGCGAGAGCCCTCTTGTTCCTGTAGTTTCCTTCTTTTGTTATTATTATTATTATTTTTCCTCCCCTTTGAACTGGAAAATGGCCCACTTCCCACTGGCGAAAACTCATGAAATTTGGCAGGACGACCGGGCCTGGTGAAAAATTTGATATTCCGAAGTCGCCCAAACAAGAAAATGCAAAATGGCTCCATAGCGCCCCCTAAGGTGAAAATTCACACTATTCACTGTCACGCCGGTACGCTTTGTCAAAATGACACAAAAATTGACACACACATGTATCTCAATAAGATCTACAAAAAAGTCAGTGCGGGCGTATCTGTCAAATGTACGGTTAAAGGGTTATTTCGCATTTTTTGCCGATCCGCACACATTGGAATTTCGCTAACTCCTCCGAAGGCTTTCGTTCCACCGGCACCACATTTGCTCAGGCCAATCTACACCCCATGGCCATTAAAAGTTATTCAAATCATGACGCTGCACCCCACGGTTTAGGTTCTAGGGGGCGCCAAAGATAACCCTAAGATCCACATATTTAAAAGTCTTATAACTTTTTATTTTTGCCCTCACTGGCCTCCAAGTTTTCTAGGATGATGCAATGTCCAGCCATCAACACATTTGTGAAGGAATTTTTACTCCCCAAAAGAGCGCCCCCCCATGGCAGGAGAAAAAAGTCCATTTTTTCTTGTCCCCTAAGGTGAAAATACACATTGTTGAGTGTAACACCTGTACGCTTTGGCAAAATGACACAAAAATTGACACACACATGTATCTCAATAAGATCTACGAAAAAGTCAAAGCGCGCGTATCTGTCAAATGTACGGTTAAAGGGTTATTCCGCATTTTTTGCCGATCCGCACACATTGGAATTTCGCTAACTCCTCCGAAGGCTTTCGTTCCACCGGCACCACATTTGCTCAGGCCAATCTACACCCCATGGCCATTAAAAGTTATTCAAATCATGACGCTGCACCCCACGGTTTAGGTTCTAGGGGGAGCCAAAGATAACCGTAAAATCCACATATTTAAAAGTCTTATAACTTTTTATTTTTGTCCTCACTGGCCTCCAAGTTCTCTAGGATGATGCAATGTCCAGCCATCAACACATTTGTGAAGGAATTTTTACTCGCCAAAAGAGCGCCCCCCATGGCAGGAGAAAAAAGTCCATTTTTTCTTGTCTCCTAAGGCGAAAATACACATTGTTGACTGTCACGCCTTTACGCTTTGTCAAAATAACACAAAATTTGACACACACATGTAACTCAATAAGATCTACGAAAAAGTCAATGCGAGCGTATCTGTTCAATGTACGGTTAAAGGGCTATTTCGCATTTTTTGCCGATTCGCACACATTGGAATGTGGCTAACTCCTCCTAAAGCTTTTGTCCCATCGGCTTCAAATTTGCTCAGGTCAATCTACACCCCATGGCCATTCAAAGTTGTACAAATCATGACGCTGCACCCCACGGTTTACGTTCTAGGGGGCGCCAAAGATAACCCAAAAATCCACAGTCTTAAAAGTCTTATAACTTTTTATTTTTGTCCTCACTGGCCTCCAAGTTTTCTAGGATGATGCAATGTCCAGCCATCAACACATTTGTGAAGGAATTTTTTCTCCCCAAAAGAGCGCCCCCCCCATGGCAGGAGAAAAAGTCAAGTTTTTCCTGCCCATCGCTCAATGGCTCAAACGCATCGCTCTCTCGGCAAAACCGAAAGGAGGAGCAACTTGCCATTTGGATATATACTAGCTGTGTTTGTGCCCTCACTCATGGTCCAGACTTTTTTCAAAAAGGACATGGAGTTTGTCTGCAGCGAGCGTTTTGGTAGAAACTGCGCCTCCCATTCATTATAATGGTAAATGACCACAGACAAGTGCGCACACCATCTTTGGACCTTGAGTGTGACGCGATCGGGAGGGGTAGGCGGTCGCGCTGGGGGTGGCGCGACGCGGCTCGGGCCCGACAGTGCCCCACCGGGGCCCTAGTTCTTTCTTTCTTTCTTCTTTTTCCTCCCCTTTGAACTGGAAAATGGCCCACTTCCCACTGGCGAAAACTCATGAAATTTGGCAGGACGACCGGGCCTGGTGAAAAATTCGATATTCTGAAGTCGCCCAAACAATAAAATGCAAAATGGCTCCATAGCGCCCCCTAAGGTGGAAATTCACACTATTGACTGTCACGCCTGTACGCTTTGTCAAAATGACACAAAAATTGACACACACATGTATCTCAATAAGATCTACAAAAAAGTCAGTGCGGGCGTATCTGTCAAATGTACGGTTAAAGGGTTATTGCGCATTTTTTGCCGATCCGCACACATTGGAATTTCGCTAACTCCTCCGAAGGCTTTCGTTCCACCGGCACCACATTTGCTCAGGCCAATCTACACCCCATGGCCATTAAAAGTTATTCAAATCATGACGCTGCACCCCACGGTTTAGGTTCTAGGGGGCGCCAAAGATAACCCTAAGATCCACATATTTAAAAGTCTTATAACTTTTTATTTTTGCCCTCACTGGCCTCCAAGTTTTCTAGGATGATGCAATGTCCAGCCATCAACACATTTGTGAAGGAATTTTTACTCCCCAAAAGAGCGCCCCCCCATGGCAGGAGAAAAAAGTCCATTTTTTCTTGTCCCCTAAGGTGAAAATACACATTGTTGAGTGTAACACCTGTACGCTTTGGCAAAATGACACAAAAATTGACACACACATGTATCTCAATAAGATCTACGAAAAAGTCAAAGCGCGCGTATCTGTCAAATGTACGGTTAAAGGGTTATTCCGCATTTTTTGCCGATCCGCACACATTGGAATTTCGCTAACTCCTCCGAAGGCTTTCGTTCCACCGGCACCACATTTGCTCAGGCCAATCTACACCCCATGGCCATTAAAAGTTATTCAAATCATGACGCTGCACCCCACGGTTTAGGTTCTAGGGGGAGCCAAAGATAACCGTAAAATCCACATATTTAAAAGTCTTATAACTTTTTATTTTTGTCCTCACTGGCCTCCAAGTTCTCTAGGATGATGCAATGTCCAGCCATCAACACATTTGTGAAGGAATTTTTACTCGCCAAAAGAGCGCCCCCCCCATGGCAGGAGAAAAAAGTCCATTTTTTCTTGTCTCCTAAGGCGAAAATACACATTGTTGACTGTCACGCCTTTACGCTTTGTCAAAATAACACAAAATTTGACACACACATGTAACTCAATAAGATCTACGAAAAAGTCAATGCGAGCGTATCTGTTCAATGTACGGTTAAAGGGCTATTTCGCATTTTTTGCCGATTCGCACACATTGGAATGTGGCTAACTCCTCCTAAAGCTTTTGTCCCATCGGCTTCAAATTTGCTCAGGTCAATCTACACCCCATGGCCATTCAAAGTTGTACAAATCATGACGCTGCACCCCACGGTTTACGTTCTAGGGGGCGCCAAAGATAACCCAAAAATCCACAGTCTTAAAAGTCTTATAACTTTTTATTTTTGTCCTCACTGGCCTCCAAGTTTTCTAGGATGATGCAATGTCCAGCCATCAACACATTTGTGAAGGAATTTTTCTCCCCAAAAGAGCGCCCCCCATGGCAGGAGAAAAAGTCAAGTTTTTCCTGCCCATCGCTCAATGGCTCAAACGCATCGCTCTCTCGGCAAAACCGAAAGGAGGAGCAACTTGCCATTTGGATATATACTAGCTGTGTTTGTGCCCTCACTCATGGTCCAGACTTTTTTCAAAAAGGACATGGAGTTTGTCTGCAGCGAGCGTTTTGGTAGAAACTGCGCCTCCCATTCATTATAATGGTAAATGACCACAGACAAGTGCGCACACCATCTTTGGACCTTGAGTGTGACGCGATCGGGAGGGGTAGGCGGTCGCGCTGGGGGTGGCGCGACGCGGCTCGGGCCCGACAGTGCCCCACCGGGGCCCTAGTTCTTTCTTTCTTTCTTCTTTTTCCTCCCCTTTGAACTGGAAAATGGCCCACTTCCCACTGGCGAAAACTCATGAAATTTGGCAGGACGACCGGGCCTGGTGAAAAATTCGATATTCTGAAGTCGCCCAAACAATAAAATGCAAAATGGCTCCATAGCGCCCCCTAAGGTGGAAATTCACACTATTGACTGTCACGCCTGTACGCTTTGTCAAAATGACACAAAAATTGACACACACATGTATCTCAATAAGATCTACAAAAAAGTCAGTGCGGGCGTATCTGTCAAATGTACGGTTAAAGGGTTATTGCGCATTTTTTGCCGATCCGCACACATTGGAATTTCGCTAACTCCTCCGGAGGCTTTCGTTTCACCGGCACCACATTTGCTCAGGCCAATCTACACCCCATGGCCATTAAAAGTTATTCAAATCATGACGCTGCACCCCACGGTTTAGGTTCTAGGGGGCGCCAAAGATAACCCTAAAATCCACATATTTAAAAGTCTTATAACTTTTTATTTTTGCCCTCACTGGCCTCCAAGTTTTCTAGGATGATGCAATGTCCAGCCATCAACACATTTGTGAAGGAATTTTTACTCCCCAAAAGAGCGCCCCCCCATGGCAGGAGAAAAAAGTCCATTTTTTCTTGTCCCATAAGGTGAAAATTCACATTGTTGAGTGTCACGCCTATACGCTTTGTCAAAATGACACAAAAATTGACACACACATGTAACTCAATAAGATCTACAAAAAAGTCAATGCGCGCGTATCTGTCAAATGTACAGTTGAAGGGTTATTCCGCATTTTTTGCCGATACGCACACATTGGAATTTCGCTAACTCCTCCGAAGGCTTTCGTTCCACCGGCACCACATTTGCTCAGGCCAATCTACACCCCATGGCCATTAAAAGTTATTCAAATCATGATGCTGCACCCCATGGTTTAGGTTCTAGGGGGCGCCAAAAATAACCCAAAAATCCACATTCTTAAATGTTTTATAACTTTTTATTTTTGTCCTCACTGGCCTCCAAGTTTTCTAGGATGATGCAATGTCCAGCCATCAACACATTTGTGAAGGAATTTTTACTCCCCAAAAGAGCGCCCCCCATGGTAGGAGAAAAAAGTCAATTTTTTCTTGTCCCCTTACATGAAAATACACATTGTTGAGTGTCACGCCTGAACGCTTTGTCATATTGACACAAAAATTGACAATCATGTGTATCTCAATTAGATCTACGAAAAAGTCAAAGAGCGCGTATCTGTATAATGTACGGTTAAAGGGCTATTTTGCATTTTTTGCCGATTCGCACACATTGGAATGTGGCTATCTCCTCCTAAGGCTTTCGTCCCACCGATACCAAATTTGCTCAGGGCAATCTACACCCCATGCCCATTCAAAGTTGTAAAAATCATGACGCTGCACCCCACGGTTTACGTTCTAGGGGGCGCCAAAGATGACCCAAAAATCCACATTCTTAAAAGTCATTTTGGCCACTGCAGGAGTACAGAGTACTGCAGTTCTAGGGGGCGCCAAAGATGACCCAAAAATCCACATTCTTAAAAGTCTTTTTGGCCACTGCAGGAGTACAGAGTACTGCAGGATACACACACATATACACACACGCCAACATACACACACACACACACACACACACACACACACAGACACACACACACTCAGAGTCTGTTTTTTAGCACCTGCAAAAACATGCTGTTTACATATTTGACAAGAATGCAGAGGCTTCCTTTTGCCCCTGAAAAAAATCAAATTTCAAACACAACTTGACTGTTCATTTCTCCAAAAGACAACCATGAAGCTCCATTTCAAACCTGAAGCAGATAGTTGGTGCATGTGTACAGTAACCTGAGGGGAGTGAGGTGAGTGCTTCTGAGGAGAACATGAGCAGTGAAGATTCACCTTGGAGCTAGAACAGGGACGTGCACATGATTATACAGGGGCAGGGGCTCAAGTTTTTTCCAGTCATTTATACAATATGGAAATTAATGTGAAATTAAACCACAAATATGTGTGATGAACTGTTTTTAAAACTTAAACTTCAAATAAAAATTGTAAACTTCAAAACATATGCAAATTTTTAACAAAGAACATAGTAATTTACCTCTATTTACATCAAAATGCAGGCAATGGCCCAGGCGTTCTTTGTAAAATTATTTACAAAACACGGAGAAAAAAGTCCATTTTTTCTTGTCCCCTAAGGTGAAAATACACATTGTTGAGTGTCACGCCTATACGCTTTGTCAAAATGACACAAAAATTGACACACACATGTAACTCAATAAGATCTACGAAAAAGTCAATGCGCGCGTATCTGTCAAATGTACGGTTAAAGGGTTATTCCGCATTTTTTGCCGATCCGCACACATTGGAATGTGGCTAACTCCTCCTAAGGCTTTCGTTCCACCGGCACCACATTTGCTCAGGCCAATCTACACCCCATGGCCATTAAAAGTTATTCAAATCATGACGCTGCACCCCACGGTTTAGGTTCTAGGGGGCGCCAAAGATAACCCTAAAATCCACATATTTAAAAGTCTTATAACTTTTTATTTTTGTCCTCACTGGCCTCCAAGTTTTCTAGGATGATGCAATGTCCAGCCATCAACACATTTGTGAAGGAATTTTTACTCTCCAAAAGAGCGCCCCCCCATGGCAGGAGAAAAAAGTCCATTTTTTCTTGTCCCCTAAGGTGAAAATACATATTGTTGAGATTCACGCCTATACGCTTTGTCATATTGACACAAAATTTGACAATCACGTGCCTTGCCTGGTATCATTTTTTTCAGCACAACCTCACCTGTGCGAATTTACAGTTATTTTATCATGTTGACATACTGAATTTACATAATGGACCCAAATTCACACACAAAACATAAAATCCGAGTGGAAAAAACATTTTTACTGTGAAAACCAAAAATATGTGTGATGAACTGTTTTTAAAACTTAAACTTCAAATAAAAATTGTAAACTTCAAAACATATGCAAATTTTTAACAAAGAACATAGTGATTTACCTCTATTTACATCAAAATGCAGGCAATGGCCCAGGCGTTCTTTGTAAAATTATTTACAAAACACTGTATAATCTCACAAATAGATCCTCCTCTATGTCAGTCCATGTGTAATTTTTCCATAATTCTTTGTTTTTTGCAGCATTTTTGTTAGTGTAACTGCAGATTGTGCTGACAGTGTCTATGGCACAAAAAAAAAAAAAAAATTTAAAATGCCTCAACATGAACCCCTGGTGGTCTCTGAGGGTGAAACCTGCTAACTGCTGCAGCTCTGTCAGCTTCAGTCTCCCATGCAGAGCTCTGAGCGCATGTGTGGCTCTGCACCCTTAGCAGCGTTGCTAACTCCTCAGTAAGGAAAGCCTGCTTCATGTCAGAGTCTCTAAACTCCAGAAGAAGTCGATAAAAGTCACTTTCTTTCTAAAAAAAAGTCGTTAGGGGGTCTGAAAAGTCATTGAATCTAACAACAAAGTCGCTAGGTTTGCAACTACGTGTCCCAGACTGCATCCCTGCTGAGAGTCCCTCCCACCCTTCTCATGTTGCAGGAAGAACGTAAGCGCCCGCCCCTTGTCAATCAGTCACCATATAATTTTGGATTGGTTGTTGTGGTGAAGTTTTCCACCAATAGGAGAGATGTTGTGGTGTGTTTTTTTTTTCTTTTGGCAAGCCTTTTCCGCCTGTAAGACCTGTCGCTAATGTCTGCATGCTATGTTTTCCTGTCTCATACAGCGCGATCGAGCGCCGAACGTGATCAAAATAAGCAGAAAAAAAGTATCGCGGACATAATTTATCATAACTCTGGTTTTATTTGGCCTATCAACACAATTTAAAAACTGGTATATAGGTTGAGGTCCTCACTTTTGAGATAAGTTGAAACGGAGAGTCAACGAGGCTCCGTCTTGCAGCTACATCCGGTTAAATATGTCATGTGACTTGAACGCACACACAGACACACACACACACACACACACACACACACACACACACACACACACACACACTCAGAGTCTGGTTTTTAGCACCTGCAAAAACATGCTATTTACATATTTGACAAGAATGCAGAGGCTCCTTTTGCCCCTGAAAAAAATCAAATTTCAAACACAACTTGACTGCTCATTTCTCCAAAAGACAACCATGAAGCTCCATCCAAACCTGAAGCAGGCAGTTGGTGCATGTGTACAGTAACCTGAGGGGAGTGAGGTGAGTGCTTCTGAGGAGAACATGAGCAGTGAAGATTCACCTTGGAGCTAGAACAGAGACATGCACATGATTATACAGGGGCAGGGGCTCAAGTTTTTTCCAGTCGTTTATACAATATGGAAATTAATGTGAAATTAAAACACAAAGTATTAATAGAAAGGTAATGACTGTCCTGTGTAGGTGACAGTGATATCCAATAGGCTAGGCACTCACGAGGCTGGCTGTGGCAAGTGTAAGTGAAAGCAACACGCACTGGCAGGAAGAACAGCAAACGCCGATGAAGGAAAAGGGTCTTTGCAGTGATGGGCGTTACCAGAGAGGGCGATGGCCAGAGGACACAAATGGGACGGGAAGGCAGCACGTTGGGGGGGGGGGGGGGGGACGCGACACGGCTCGGGCCCGCCAGTGCCCCAACGGGGTCCTAGTCATCTTCTTCTTCTTCTTCTTCAGCAGCTCCGTGTCTCTCTAATGAGTCCCTTTGGCTCAGGGTTACATCCATCTTTGATTATCGCTCGCTCAGTCAGAGGTGAAAAAGTCAGAGTTTCTGCAGCGCGCTCCGATCAGAAGTGAGAGAGAGGAGTGAGGAGGTTAAAGAGAGAGACGAGGGACGAGATCTACAGGAGAACAGCGCTGAGGTTCTGGTCTGAAGGTCCGAGAACGTCCTGACTCATCCAGGACGACTGATTCACGTTTTGATTCGATGATTGAATCCATGATAGAGAACTTTTAATGTCAACAAACAACCCGACCCCAGAAAGGTTACTTATGACGGCATGACCCCATCTGGAGCGGCAGTGGTTTTTGCCGTCTGTCAATTCCTACTGAATCCGTTTGTGAGGCGAATTTCATGGCGGATAACAGACAGCAGTAATCGCGAGAACTCACAAGAACCTGCAGATTCACGTTCAATCTCACGATAACGAGTCGTCTCTATAAAGACAGACACATAGACATATAAGCAGTAGATTGTGTCCTTCCAGAGGAGGAAATCTACTTCTAGACTTCTAGAATCAGCATCTCCTCATCCATGGTGTCATCGGGGTGAAATGACGTCTAAAAACCTTTCACTTGTTCGTCTCCGCCCGTTTGCATGGTGTGAAATACGATCCTCCTGAAACACGGAGTGTTTTATTTTGAAAAGAAGCCGGATGTTTTATTTTGTGTCTGTGCCCGACTTCCTTTCCAGCACGGGTTAATCTGTGCTGAATTTATCCGCCATGCTCCGGCGTCCAGAAAAAATAGAACTCTTGTGATCAGCTGAGGAGTCCGGCGATCCGCAGAGGAACGGAAAGAAGTCGGTGTAAATTGACACGTTAACTTGAATGGTTACGATCAGCTACGATCGGAGGATACGACCTTTTAGGAGACCATCAGGATGAAGGTGGACTGATGTGGTCCTGACTCGTCCCCCTTTGGCAACAGAGACCCGTCTTTTAATCGATCATTGATTTTTGACGGTAAATAATCGTAAAAATTCTCGTTTTTTCTCACGTTAGTTTTTCTTCTCTTTCTTTCAGGCCCGGCCGTCCGTTACAGCAGCTTCACTCCAGCTGGGCCGACGCCCCCTCCTCTGATTGGCCAGCACACGGTGAAGGTGCTGAGAGACACTCTGTGCTACAGTGATGACATCATCAACACGCTGCTGGAGACGAAGGCGGTGTTTCAAAACGAGGAGTCCTGATTGGCCGAGAGAAAAGGACATGAATTCACTCCAAAAAGAAGAAGAAAACAGAGACACTGAAACATGATTTCACTAACAGTCGATCTGAAAGGTTTTTAATTTGAAATGAGCTGCTGAGAAAAAAAGTATTTTTATAAGACCTGATGAGAAATTATTTTACAGTATTTTTCTTATTTTTATTTTCGTTATTTCGGATCATGTGACTCCGTAAACATCTCAACACTCCTGATTTTTTTCAGAGTTTTCCCGCTCTCTTTCTCTGTAAACTGATTTTTGCACTCTTAAAAAAAACTGTTCTTATAATAAACTCCATTTTAAATAAAGTAATAAAGTCATTCTGTGTTTTTCTTCTGATAATTCACCAGGACAGACTCATGAACTCAGGCTCCACCGTTTGGTTTCCAGCAGAAACATAGATCTGTTGTTAGCAGAGCTGAACTACCAGGACTAGATCTACAACATGACGACATTCATGAGACGAAAAGATGCAGATTCAACGAACCATCGGAAGAAAAGACAGAGTCGTGTTTCTGTCGACTTCCTGCTGAAATAAAAACGAAAATAAAAACCTGTTAAAATGAGAGAAAAACACCTCCATGTTTGTTTTCTCAGTGTTGGTGTTTGGAGTGAGACCGTCTAACAGTGTGAGCGTTACAATGACATGTTGACCTTAAACTGTGGCGTTCCTCAGGGTTCTGTTCTGGGTCCTCTAAATGTTTCATCCATCGAGTTACGACCATCACAGTTTTGAGCCGTCATGCAGGAAACGTTGGCGAATGTTCATGTTTGAACAGCTGGAGGGAGAAAACACGAACAAACACCGATGTTTTATTTCTTTCTTTGACGTCCTTATTTTCAGTTAAACCCTCGGACGGTGGAAACTCTTAAAAACACGTTTTTTAGGAGTTTTCTAAAAGTGTCCAAACTCTGATGAGTCATGGTCCTTTTGTTCAGACGGATATATTAATGTTTATTCTATTATCTCTCTGTCCGCTCTGCAGGGGCCGGGCTGCAGATGAAGTGTAAACAGTTTGGATGATGAGCGACTGATCCCCAAACTCATTGGGCTTCAGCTGATGGCGTCGATGACGTTAATCATCCTCCGAACGTGGACTCACATCAGAAACCCTCCTCCCTCTCTCCGTCTTGTTCGGGGGAACCGTGGAGAGCATCAGTGATGATGTTGTGAGGAGAGTCGGCGTGAGGAGGAGAGACGGCCGACAGCTTGATTAATGCCGGAGAAATCCTCTGGTAGAAAAAGGGATGAATCAAATCAACGTGATGTTTACTAAACTCAACAAATGTGACGCAT